CATATCAAGAAGACAAATATTGTTTGATTATTGGGCGAGGAATATGACACAACAGAGGAAAATGAAAACTTCCTTCTAACACTTATAACAGACTACGATACCTGGAATTGTTCAGATCATATGGCGATTGCATTCTGATACTCATAGCATCTTTCGGTTTCACCTTTCTCAGGGCTGAGAAGAAATGAGATGCCATGGTTTATCATCATGATGGGCGATTGTGGAACGTTTATATCTACATGTACAGAATACGAGGGTTGTCCCATAAGTCCTGAAATGTTTGCTCTAACATCTTAAAATGATATACAGAGAACTATTTTGGACGACGTTCGAAGGACGAGAAAATGGATGATACAAAGGCTCAAAAAGTAAACTAGTAAACTAAAATCTAAAAGTAAGATCATGACATCTCTAATGGCAATATAAGTAAAACTAAAATAGAGCGTGTAGGCCATGCAAGTCATCTCGCAACATTTAAATTAGAATCAGGTGTAGATTGAGTACGGGAAGTAAGGCCATATTTGCTTTTAACCACAATATGTAAATTAAAAATGATCTTGATTGTTTTATTGCGGTACGATAACAACTTGAAATGTTTGTAAATTAATTTGATACACATTATTGCCCAAAGGGATAGGAATTTGACGAGGAAGCTCGTCCCCGCGCCCGGCCGATTGAGTAGTTTGTTAAAAAATGATTACACTTATACCAGACTACGGTACCTGTAATTGTTCAGATCATATGCTGATATATGGCGATTGTGGAAAGTTTATATCTACATGTACAGTATACGCGAGTTGTCCCATAAGATCAACATACTCATCGTATAGTAATGGAAATCGAAGCAAATGTGACCCATATTATCTCTCAACATTAATGAGTATAGTCTCTGGCAAACTTTTGAAATGTAATTAGAATCAAGTTGATTTTATCATTACGTTTGCATTGTTGTACGAAATGACAGGATGATCATACGATATCACCGAAAGCCGTACGTACGATAATCCTACGGTGACCGTACGGGCGCCGACAGGGTAGGGTCCGATGAGTTTAATGGAGAGTTGTTGGTTATAGAATGTAATGCAGTTATATGAAATACTGTGTTTTGATTGGCTAGACTAAGTTTGTCAAATTACACTATGCCTACACTACCCTCCATTAGTCTGGAATTCACACATAGCTAGACAAGGTGTGTCAGATTTCAGCCAATCCGAACACAGTATTTCACATAACGCATTGTGCGTGAAATAACCAATAACGCATCCAAGGTCATTCCTTAGGTGGTTGCAAAGGTGACAAGTTCACTCAATGGATAAAAATTGATGGTTTGCCAACTTGATCCTTGCAAAAAGTTTCATTTAATATATGTCATTTTAGTGATTTCGTATCTTTTAGGTGACATGGTAAAAATATTTTGCAATGTGTGAAAAGAATTTAAGCCCGAGACTCAATGCATTTTGTAATTACCAACATCTTCAAAGAATGATCATTCCACATTGCACTCAGTCAAGGGCTTAAATCCTTTAACCTTTTCCCCATGTGCCAGAGCCACTTAATGTTATATTTTTAATTTTCATAACTTTCAGCGACAAAAAACCATGTAAATCAATAATTTTTCTGGCTGTGATGTAATTTGACTGCATTGGCTATACCTCCAAATATTTTCTAATATACTATTTCAAATAGTATTACAATAGGCCGAAAATTTAAGACTAATTACAAACATTCTTTATATAATTATTCGATTTTAATTTTTTGAATTTATTCATATAGCAATTTCTATACGGACAAACTTAATTCTTGAGCACCAAAGGTTTTCGACTACACCCGCATAGAAATCTCTATATAGGCATTCAATTTATATTTTTGACCATATAGAAATTTCTATACAGCAGGCAATCTAGGAAAATAATTTTTCTGGGCCACATAGAAATTTCTATACAGCGTTTCGATTTTGATTTTTCTACTCTATCCTTATAGAAATTTCTATACCAGCAAACATAATTTAAATATGCACCCATATATATAGAAATTTCTATGAAGCGTTTCAATTTTTATTTTTGACTAAATATCAGTATAGAAATTTCTATACGAGGAGAAATGTTTTACCAGTAACATAATTATTATTTTCCGACGGCCTTCACATAGAAATTTCTATACCGATAACCAATTAAAATGACAAAAACTGATATTTCCAGAGTCATCTGCATAGAAATTTCTATACGGAAAGACAATGGAATATTTTGTATAGAAATTTCTATCTGAGAATAGTTTATTTGTAAGTCTAGTTAGAAGCTACATAGAAAATTCTATACGATAAGAAGAAACACAATTTTACTAGACATTAACATGAATATGTATTCATAAAATGATTTTACCTTTATCTGGTTTGATGAAATATTCATATACTTTGTATAAATATTGTAAATCTAATATGATAATAAAACATTGACGGTTGAAATTCCTGAAATTCACTGCTGTTTTTACGTTTTGGGATTTTCAAAAAGGGACTAAACGGTTCATTCTCTTTTTAAATGGTCACGACTGTATTTGAAGACATGTCAAAAATTTGGTGGAAATAATTTTGTCACTCCTGATTTGACCTGGAAAGGTTCAGGTAAGTAATCACAAACAATTACATACAGTTATATCTTTCTTTTATTATGACTATGTTCTGACCATGAAGACAGGTATACAGGGATAATAAAGTCAATCGGACTCAGAGATATTTCACTAGCAATCAACCCATCAATATATTTTTTCAAAGTTGTTGACCTCATTTTCACCAAAAATGCCATCATTTTAACAATTTTAACAATTCGGTGTCTTTAAAGTCCCTGGAGCAATCCACTTTTCCTCTTAGGAAATAGAACATGTCTCAAAGCATATTCTAATTATGCATTCAACAATATAATTAAAGGTTGCATCTTTGGTAAAAATTAGGTCAACATTTTTAGTAAAAAGTATGTTGATTGGGCCATTCCCTTTAATATCACTTAGGTCTGATTTCAATCATTATATTTACTTTTCTTAAAGATAATGAATAGATCTAAAAGATATACCCATGTTCATGGTCAGAAAATATTCATTATTCAAGTTAGAATTGTCTGAAGTTGTTTGCGATAACCTACATGCTCCTTTATAACATTATTATGTAAATACAGTAGAACCTGTGTAAGTGGAACACTCTCCTTTCTGCCACAAAGCGTTCCACTTAGAAGGTGTTCCACTTATGGAGGTTTTGGGTTCGCAGGGAACATACAAGATCAAATATAGAATTTATATGTATCATTGGAAATATGATTCTCCCTTCATTACAGGGCAGGTATATACCATTAATAATCCATTTATTTTACTCAAAAAGGTATCTGACATTCTAAATCCTCCTCATTCTGCCAAAAATGTTTTCTGACATTCTTAATCCTCCTAATTGTGCCAGTCTCGGGTACAAAGATTAGGCAATTAAGTTTTAAAGACTTGTTCCTACTGCTAATAATTCAATTGTTTTTAAATGACATTTTTAATCTTACTTATTAAGTTTGAAACAAACAGCAAGGGATATTAATTAGTGGTAGCATCACGTGTCCAGTTCTACAGGAGGTTAATCCAATTTTCTGAATGATAATCTTATGAAATCCTAATTTGCTGATTATCAAATTAATTATTGGTTGCATCACATGTTGACCTCTACAGGAGGTTAGTCCATTAAAATCCATTAAAGTCCTAATTTGCCAATTATCAAAGTATTACCTGTTTTCATACCCAGATATCATTGAAGGAGATTAATTCTTTTTACATATATCAATATTGAAATCTATGGAAATTGACTGTTCCACTTAGCAGGTTAATTTTTCAATTTGGGGTGTTCACTGTTCAAGTTTGGAGGTGTTCCACTTACAGAGGTTCAATTAACATTAAGTCAATGGGTTTTTAAAACGGGACTTTGAAAAGGCGTTCCACTTGGGAGGTGTTCCACTTACAAAGGTGTTCCACTTAGCAGGTTCTACTGTACATTACTTGTGCATGATGACCACCATAGTCTAGTTGCTCAAATGAGATCAATTGATGATTATAATGTTTAGACTTTATGTCAATGTCCAGACTGTATGCCAACCTCTCTAGTATGTGATTACACTAGATTTCATTATGATACATGTACTAAATTGAAAACTTACATATAAAATATCTTAAGTCCTATATTCTAGTAATAAATGAATTAGAATGTCACCTAACATTTGATGATGGTATGAATTTATTGATTTGGTGTCTATCAATACATGTTTAAAACTTAATGCTGCAAAATGATAAAATTCACCACATCCACTTTCTTCTATTTTCCAGGGGTAGGGCACTATAAAGTCATATTAAAATTACAAAATAGTACTTCATAACTAAAATAGATGTATTACAATACCACACATAGCTTGGAAATGTTTTTAGAATACTACTATGAGCTGTTAAAGCTGTCATATTGTGCTTGAAGCTACAAATATAAAATTGGCAAGACAAAAATTGCGTATCTTTTTCCTGTTTTTTGTATTTTTCTGAGACCAATAAGGGTATCAACCTATAACTTTAGGATAGTATTCATATTTGTACTAGCAATGTATGGTGTACAACTCAGAACAATAGCTCATATATCCTTTGAGTTATGAACTAGTTTCATAGTACCCCCTAGAATATTTTCCTAGGGGGGTAAAAATGCCAAAATTTAGTGTCGTGACCACCCCGTTGAGCTGTCATCTTTTAATATCTTTATCAGCATGAAAAACTGAACTAGTAAAAATAGGTCTGTTGCTTTTTCTAAAAAATGCCTCAAAAACTTGAATTATTTGAATTGGAACCTGTCTATCCCTTATTGGGCCTCCTAATGATAATGATAAATAGATATCTTGTGCAGTTGTTGTAATTGGTCTAAATGTTGTTACTGGTGTTGATACCTGGTGTATTTGGTGTTGGTGTACCTGGCGTTGATAATGTTGTATTTGGTGTTGGCGTACCTGGCGTTGATGTTGGTGTATTTGGCGGTGACGTTCCTTGCGTTGATGTTGGTGTATTTGGTGGTGGCGTTCCTGGCGTTGATGTTGGTGTATTTGGTGGGGGTGTTCCTGGCGTTGATGTTGGTGTATTTGGCGGTGGCGTTCCTGGCGTTGATGTTGGTGTATTTGGTGGTGGCGTTCCTGGCGTTGATGTTGGTGTATTTGGTGGTTGCGTTCCTGGCGTTGATGTTGGTGTATTTGGTGGTGGCGTTCCTGGCGTTGATGCTAGTGTAGTTGATACTGGAAACAGAGTAAATACAAGATAGATCAAACAATTAGTTTTTTGCTTGGAATGGTTGATTTGCGTACTGCTCAACCAAAAAACTAATTTACGGGTTTATTTATTGAAAAATCCAGTTGATGCGGGTTGTAAAACTTTTTTATTGAAATTCCCGGGTTTTTGTGGGTTGAATTTTAATAAAGTGTGTTATTTTAACTCGTGGTTTTCCAAGCAAATTGCGTATAAAAAGGCCGAGATTGAGGGATCGAATCATTCGTTATTCCAACTGATATTTATATTGATATATAACGGGGGCATTAGAGAGAGAGAGAGAGAGAGAGAGAGAGAGAGATAGAGAGAATCACCGGTTGGTTTGCCTGTTTGTGTAGAAATGTCGTCTTTTATACAAATGTTTGAAATGAAAATTTGGAAACAAAAAAATGTTTCTTCATAGGACACAACAGGATGTTCCAAAAGGTACTTTGAAGAAGTGCAACTCAAATCGTTAAGTTTCAGAAAAAATGATAAAATGCGGGTAGAGTTATGGATACTTTAGTAACATGACATCACAATACCCGGGGCAAATTTTTCATGGAAATGTAGTATCTAACATTTTTGTATTACTGAAAAGAGTATCTTATTCACCTTTTACTATACAACATGTCTAGTTTGTTTTATTAGTTGCTTTGTATTGGTGTTGCTATACAACTCAGATTCAAGTATGATTTCATAAAAATAATATTTATTCAATTTCCTGGAATATCACTATGTATAACGCCCATAAGTGTGATATTCTTATAAATGGTCGTCTATACGTAATGATTTGACATCCGCGATAGGGCCTCCTAATAACTGAAGAATAAATGAATCAAAACTAAGAGAGCCTCTTGCAAAGGCTTTCCTGAAAGAATAAAGAAAACCTTAGAAGAACCATGCAGGAGGCATCTCTTATTGGAACTCCTAATGATAATGATAAGAATAGATATCTTGTGCAGTTGTTGTAATTGGTCTAAATGTTGTTACTGGTGTTGATACCTGGTGTATTTGGTGTTGGCGTACCTGGTGCTGATAATGTTGTATTTGGTGTTGGCGTACCTGGCGTTGATGTTGGTATATTTGGCGGTGGCGTTCCTTGCGTTGAAGTTGGTGTATTTGGTGGTGGCGTTCCTGGCGTTGATGTTGGTGTATTTGGTGGGGGTGTTCCTGGCGTTGATGTTGGTGTATTTGGTGGTGGCGTTCCTGGCGTTGATGTTGGTGTATTTGGCGGTGGCGTTCCTGGCGTTGATGTTGGTGTATTTGGTGGTGGCGTTCCTGGCGTTGATGTTGGTGTATTTGGCGGTGGCGTTCCTGGCGTTGATGTTGGTGTATTTGGCGGTGGCGTTCCTGGCGTTGATGTTGGTGTATTTGGTGGTGGCGTTCCTGGAGTTGATGTTGGTGTATTTGGTGGTGGCGTTCCTGGCGTTGATGCTAGTGTAGTTGATACTGGAAACAGAGTAAATACAAGATAGATCCAACAGCTAGTTTTTTTGCTTGGAATGGTTGATTTGCGTACTGCTCAACCCAAAAAACTAATTTATGGGTTTATCATGAACTATTATGTTTTGAAACATATTCATGCATTAATTTCATTTGAGAAATGTTTTGAATGTTTCAAATCGTCTCATTCTTAAACTAAATAATTTCCATAATATGGTTGAATATGGTTGAAAATAGTTGCAAACATTTGGTAAAATGCAACTGAAATAATCAATGGTTTGTAATCGTTGCAAATGCTTGCATTATTTCAATGATCCGCAACCAAAGTTTTTAACCAAATGTTAATGGTTGAAATGTAATGGTTGGAAACCATTTCAAATGGTTGCAGTAATGGTTACGCAATGATTTTTAATGGTTACACAATGGTTTTTAATGGTTGCAATTCGGAAAAAATGTTTTTTTCTAAGGGCAATGAGGAAAAAGCGTAAAGACATTTTCATTCATTTTTCTTGGACTAATGATGCTGTTTTAAGCGGAGAAATTGTCAATCGTGTCATTGAAGTCCTTAAGCAAGTGAATACTTGTTAATATCGAGTTGAAGTCGTACTTCATTGATTTCAAGCTATTTCAATTAGTTTTTTTGTAAAACAAAGCGTAGTTTTGCACAGTTTGTCACTTACAAAATATAACTAGAACTAATTGCGTCCTTAGTACAATCGGATCCATGGCCATTTATACTCGGATCCTCTCAGGAAAAAGAAATTTGCCTGTAAAACTGAGATTTGGGGAATTGCTCCAGTTTAGCAGTACTTTCAAGAGTAATAATCATACATATATATTTATATTCCATTTAATGACCGTGTCTTCACAACCGATGAAACTTGGATTCTAAGGACCGATTATACTCATTTACACTGTAACAGGTACTGCCCCATGCAGATACTAGAAATCTAATAGATGGCAGTTGATATTGTTGTTTTTTATAACAAAGGCTCCCACAAAAAAGTCGATTATCTAAATAACGTGGACATGTAAACGTCTTTTGGATGAATGTACTTATTCATGAACATCCATGGATTAACAGGACTACCGATATCTTAAGACAAAACATGGATTATCGTCGTTTTTCGAAGGTGATAAAACTGTAAGTTATCCTTTACTCTTGAAAACAAGATGGCGTCCGTAAATGGAGCCCACGTATCCCATGAAGCAATAAGTGACTTAGATATTTGCGTGGTTCGTATCTTGTCTAATACTGACTGTATGCCAAGACATGAGGTTACGGAACAACTAGTGCTAGATATTGATGAAACTTTGTTAAATGAATCCAGGAATTTGTTGTTTGATCTTGCGAAGTTGAAGCTGTCGTTACAATGCACGAAGGAATACGGGCCAATTGCCACAAGAGGCTATGATCAAATTGAAGAGGTTAAACCTAGAAAACGCACCGGTGAAAGAAAAAATGTTAGTTTAGCAAATGACATTTATGACCTCTATTGCTATAAAATGGATTATACTGAATCGTTTCCCAGGAACGTCACCTCTCAAGCAAGCCATATTCCAGAGTTAAAGAGAAAAGCTCAACCCCCGCCAAATGCGCTTGAAATGGGCACGAATCTTAAGGTTATTGAATTAACTGCTGAAGTGGTTGAAATGCGCAAGCAGTTAAAAGAGATAAAAAGGGATCATCAAGTGGAAATTGATAGACTGAATATAACGGTAAACAAGTTAAAAATTGAATTGGGTCAACACACATGTATGTCCCTAAGCCCACGGTACGGAAAAATGCCAATTAGTTCGGACTCTGTTTCGGGTAATAAGCCACTCTCACAGTCAAATACGCGACCTAGAGCCAATTCCGAGCCCGTCCAGACGTATGCTAATGTAATAACAAAGAAATCAGCTGGAAGAGAAACTGCACTTGAAACAAACAATAACAAACCCGAAAAAAAAACAATAACAATGAAACTGGCTCAAATACAGAGTGTTCAAAAAATGACAAACCCATAGGTCCTATTTCCTCTTCAAAGTCATCTGTTAATGAAACCCATAAACCTGCTCAAGTACCCAATGACACGGTTCCCAATGATGATGAAGGGTTCACGCTCGTAGAACGAGGACGGAACCGGAAAGACTCTGTTACAAGATTTGGTGAAAGGCGACAAGTTAATCTTCAATCCTTAGGGCATTTGAAACAAAGAAGCACATCTAACTCTAAAACGCTCATCACATCCAAAACTCGCACACTTAAAGGAATCGCGTATGAAAAAACTCAGACCCTATATTTGGAAAATGTAGGGGTTGAATATGGTGACACGGATAGTGAAATTGAAGACCTCGTTAGGGAACACATCAAATCAAACATTGGCATAAACGTCACGAAAATGTATGTTGTGCGAAATAAATATTCGACGATTCGCGTAGGGATAAAACTCATAGTTCCCCAATCTGCAGCCAACAAGGCGATAGAATCTGATGCATGGCCACATCCTGTAACGTGCCGTCCGTGGGAATATAAACCGAGCTCACGTGGAAAACGCATCCCTCCCCACATCACATACAGGTCAAACAGATATCGTGACGAACAGGACCCAAGCTCATATGCATATGATGAAGATTACATTAACAACGACGATGCCTACTATAGTGACATACGCGACTCTACTAAAAATTACGAGTCACGATTACATAAATACTCTCTGCGAGCAACAGAGAATAACTGTTCATATTAATTTTTACAACTCAAGTCAGGTAACATTTGTGATGCTTTTTGTCACTTTAGTACTGTTCCTTGTAACACGGTTGTTACGGCCTATGTTCATGACAGGGCCAGAAACACGTGTTACAGTATTATATTCTATTATATTCACATTAAGTTTAGTTTATCAATATGCATATACTGTAACTGATCTTCATTAGAGATCTTAGGTCAAGTCAAGGTCACAATGACATTATATCTTGTAAACATAACTGAACTGAATGACTCATTAACTCTTGGCCTTCTAGAAAGTACTGGAACTGTAATCATTTAATCAAGATTGAATCATGTGACTTAAGATGTCCAATCAGTGTTATTTTCTAGAAATCGTAACTTCTTGAAACATCTGGACTATGCCTTTGCACTATATAATGAGAGAGCTGATTTGGACTGTCAGCAGAATTTCAAAGTCTATCAAAAGGACATCTTCTTAGCAGAAAATTACAGACACCTACTTTGGGAACATTTATAACAGTGCAAGCATACAACCTGAGGACTTTATATGGACATATATTATAACACACACTATATACGGATTATCATATACATTCGTGGATTATCATAAACATTTGTGGATTATCGTTAAACATTTGTGGATTATCATCAAACATTATTGGATACGAACATTATAGGATTACAACAAACATTATTGGATTATTACAAACATTGGAGAACTATTAACGATTATTGAAACTTTCGTGATCTGGAACATTCTCAAGGAACATCACGGATATTCATCGACATCCAGAATAAGCCGTATCATTGATTGGACATCACTTAAGTATTAAACCTCCTTTATATTATTGTTATATTATTTAGTTTTCAAAAAATAAATATATTGTTATCATATTTTAATTGCTGTTTTTACTTTCTGTTAGTTTCGAACGTAACACACGTAACATTGTTATAACGTCTTGGAATGCAAATGGGCTCAATGCCTCGAGCCCATACCTTTTTAACCTACTGTGCAAATCTGATATACTATGTTTGAGTGAACATTGGCTCTACCCTGGTGCCTTAAATGTATTAAATAAAGCCCATCCAGATTTCGTATGCATTGCTGAAAGTAGCAACTCTCTTGATCCCTTAAACCAAGGTCACATTATTGGGAATGGAGGAATTGCTATTTTCTGGAGACAATCGCCAGACTTGAATATTGTAAATGTAAAGAAATTCAGATGTGATAGATACATAGTCATTAAGGTTCTGCAGCCTGGCTGTCGTGACTTACACATAATTAATGTTTACACTACCCTCCATAAGTTTGGCAACCTTTTTTCTCCATTGAACTACGTGTTAAAGCCTCTTTACGTTTGAATTTTTATTTACTTAACCGGCGATATATTAACGTATAATATTGATGGAAACGTAACTTGACTTTATTTCCAATAGCTCCAAATTTTCTCAATTTTTTTCCTCAATTACAATAGGTCGAAAATTGATGATAGATTTGATGAATTTTTGAAAATCGTCATTCCCATGTAATCCAATGGGAAATTGAGGGTTCGGGGCAAATCAGAAATCAGGATATCTTTTCAGTAAAAGATTCAGCAAAAAATATTTTTATATAGAAAATTGAATTGTCTAACCTTTTTGAACACTAAGTGTTTAGTTTATTTGATGAATATTAAAGTTACAGCGCTTCAAAGTCATTTTTGAAAATAATTTTTCGCCTCCTGTGTTATTTCAATGGGAGAGGTTTTTTGAAAAACAATTTTGACTTTAAAGCCCTATAACTTTGTTGAACCTGAAGGAACATATCAATTTTTTGTTAAATAAAGTTAGCAAATTCAATTACCTGCCTAAATTGTATTTTTTGCAAGGATTCGGATAGATGGATATTCTGTCATATGACTTGCGGCAAACCTACTATTTCCCATTGGATTACATGGGAATGTCGATTTTCAAAAATTCATCAAATTCATCATCAATTTTCGACCTATTGTAATTGAGGAAAAAAATTGAGAAAATTTGGAGGTATTGGAATTAAAGTCAAATTAAGTTTCCATCAATAGTATAAGTATTTTCATCGCAGGTTAAGTAAATAAAAATTCAAAGGTAAAGAGGCTTTAACACGTAGTTCAATGGGGGAAAAAAGGTTGCCAAACTTATGGAGGGGAGTGTATATGCCTCACGCAAATTGTAAAAATGCAAATTTCCTAGAAGTCTTAGATAGACTTGAAATAATAACCGAGGAATTGCAGAATGATGGCGATGTAATTATCACTGGTGATTTTAACGCAGATTTTGGGAATACAGTGGGAACAAGAGGGTCGGGTGAAATCACACAAAATGGCACTCATTTGCTCAACATGTGCACAAGGACAAATCTCGTTCCCATTGATATGTTCCCACAATGTACTGGACCAGTTTATACATTTTTTCGAGACTACACTGGTCAATCCTACATAGACCATTTTTTAGTACCCGAACATGCAATAGGTCAATGTGTTAACGTGAATGTTATTGATAATGAAATGTTAAACCTATCTGACCACCTCCCGATTAAATTAACCGTTTGTCAAAAGCAAGAAGTCTTTTTCAAAAACAAACCTGTTAAAAAGAATGAAACAGAACGAGTCTCGTGGAAAAAATCATCCTTAGAACATTTAAATGATTATTCCAATGAAGTTCATCGCTTAGTAGAAGAGCGCCTTATGCCTTTGCTAGCTAGATCGAGTGAGTTACGTGATAAAAGGTTTATCGACGACTGTTTTAATCTGCTAACTTCGATATTTCACGAGGCAGCAAATAAAACTCTCCCTAAAACCAAATACTGTAAACATTTAAAACCGTACTGGAATCAATCATTGAAAGCTCTAGTAATTCAAAAGAAATCCACGTGGAATCAATGGATTATGCATGGAAAACCGCGCTCTCCGGGAAATGTTCAATGGGAAGCATATAAGGATGCAAAAAGATGTTTTAGGCGGGAATTGAGAAAATGTGAGCAAAACTATGAAATCCGATGTCAGAAGGAGATTGACGAGCTAGAAGAAATATCTTTAAACCAATTCTGGCATCTGGTTAAAAAACGGAAGCCACGATCAGCTCCGAATATTGCAATCAAAACAGATGATGGAGTTATATTGACTGATGATAACGACGTCACAAATGAATGGAGATCTTATTTTATGAAATTGGTGTCTGCTCATGGAAGTGATCAAGATGACTATGATAATATGTTTTTTCAAAATGTTAATAATGATATCGCCAGAATGGAGCATGAAAGCTTTCTAAACAATGATCTAGCATTCGAACAACCTGTTTCTGTAGCAGAAATTGAAAAGGTTATTTCCAAGCTTTCAAAAAATAAAGCCCCTGGTTGGGACCAAATATGCTCAGAACATTTAAACAAAGGAGGTACAATCGTTTTAAACGTACTTGTAGAATTATTTAATTGTATAATATCTTTGGAACATATCCCTGAGAATTTCAAATTGGGTGTCTTGATTCCGTTATTTAAAGGCGGTGTAAAAGATCCCTTAAATAAGGATCACCACAGGGGCATCACACTGATGACGTCATACATGAAAATAATGGAACGGTTAATGATGATAAGAAGTGAACAATGCAATTGTCTTGAACCCAAGTCTGAAATGCAAGGTGTTGGTCTTCCAAAATGCTCAAGCATACACACGTCACTTCTAGCCAGAGAGGCTATATCCCATGGACTTGAGTTAGGCAATGACGTCATCGTGACGTCACTAGATATTAAAAAAGCCTTCGATAGTGTGTGGCACGATGGTCTATTATATAAATTATACAATCAAGGTATTAATGGCAAGTTATGGAGGTTAATCAAATTATCATATAATGGCTACAGATGTACAATTAAGGCTTCTCCAAACTGTCCCATGTCTGAACCTTTTGTTGTTGAAAAGGGGGTCCACCAGGGCGGAATTTATTCTATGGAATTGTATGCCAGATTTACAAATGAATTACTAAATGAAATACAAAAATGTAACATTGGTAGCACTATATGTTGTATTAACTCAACAAGCCCCACATTTGCAGATGATACTGTCTTAATTGCATATCATGCCAAATCAATGCAGCAACTATTGGATAAGGTGTATCGATACAGTGTTAAATGGAGATTCCAATATCACCCAGACAAATGCCAAACAGTCGTTTTTAGTAATCAAAGGGATCCGCCTAAACCCCACTTACTACTCGGGGGGAAACAGTTACAGGTAGTTGATTCAATGCAGCATGTAGGATTACACCTTACACCAAAATCAGATTTAAGCTATGTAGACAATGCCGTCTCTAAAGGAAGGCGTACTATGAATGCCTATATTGGTGTGACATCAACGATCAACAACCCCACGAACCCTTTAACTGCCTCAAGATTGTACTGGTCGATATGTATGCCATCTCTAACATATGGCCTGGAACTAATTTCTGTGAACGAGCAAGCATTGAGTAAACTGGAAGGAGGGCATAGAGAAATTGCTAAAAAGATTCAAGGAATTTCAGCAAAAACTTGTAATCCCGCGTGCACAGCAACACTAGGGTGGCACTCAATATCAAGTAGAATTTTCATTAGTAAACTGATGCTACTTTGGCAGCTGTTAGCACTTCCTATCACAAATGTGTATAAGAAACTGGTCATAGTAAGATTAACCTTTGCAACGCACTATAACCTTCATAAACTGTCCCCAATTGGAGATTGTCTTAAGATAGCTAGATCGTTTGGACTTCTGGGTGATGTATATGAAATGCTTAATGTTGGAACTATTCCAAAATTGCAATGGAAAAGACGTGTGAAAAATGTTGTGTATGAACGGGAATTAAGCAATTGGAGAGTACAGTGTATTTTGTTTGAAAAGTTGTCTTTATTCAGAATGGTTCAAAAAGAGATAAATCCCCTTGTATGGTGGACCCTAGCAAAATGTAATCCCATGCTACTTAAACCATGTAGAACCATGGTTAAATTATTAACGGGTGAAGGAAATCTCATGGTTAACTGTAAACGGTGGTCGGGTGGCAAGATAAATGATCTATGCTTGGTATGTGGCGAAGCTATTGAGAATTTAGTTCATATGGTACTAGAATGTCCGGGGCATAAGGCAAAACGAAAGGATATTGAGAATATTCTTATTCAGATGTACCTTGATACCCCTCTCCCACCGAATGACGTGTTATTACCGATTTTATTTGGCGAAAATAATGTACTGACAGAGGATCAATATATTAAGATAGCTCTGTCAATTTATGGAATGTATGAGGCAAGACCAAATGTAGATTTTTGATTAGTTAACCATAATTTTAGGTGGAGAACTTGTTTTTCTTATTGCATGTAACAGATAGTAGTAACTTGACGGCGTCAACGCGGTAGCCTGACGTCCGTCAACACCAGGGATTGGTTGTACATAAACATTTTAATTGTTGTTTTTTTTATTATTGTATGTAACATAATAATCTCAACCCCTTATGTAATACTTTATATAACACATGTAAACACACCAAGTCTGGTGGATAAAATAAACATAAATAAATAAATAAAGGGAGTGTGCTCATTGAATGCCACGTGTTGGAAACCAACCCAGGGAAACAAACCCAGGACCATCTGACGCTTTACCGCTATATCGAATAGGGGTAATTCACTACAGCCAGGCAGTAACAGCGAATTCATTTTAGGTTCATACAAAAGGTAAAGGTAATAGAACGTCTTCAAAACAGTCATTCTAATCAAATCATGAACATTCTATCAAAACCATCTTGTGTAACCCCACTTTATTGCCTTTTGCCCCTGTTTCTATCAATATATCGATGTTTTAAAAATTCATTTGATACCATACACGAAATATGTACTTGATATGTGGTTTCAAGTAAAGAAATATAGCTAACGTTGTCTTTAAAATACCACCTTATGTAACCCCACTTTCGTACCTTTTGCCCCTGTTTCTATCAATATATCGATGTTTTAAAATCATTTGATACTATACACGAAATATACACGAAATATCCACTTATGTGAAATAAAATAAAGGAAAATAAAGTAAGAAGTGTCTTGAGAATGCCACCTTGTGTAACCCCATTTTAGTGCCTTTTGCCCCTGTATATATCAATATAAAAGATGTTTTCTATATGAGGGAAGTCTGTTCTATCAAACAGTACAATCAATTCTGTGGGAAAGTATAAACACAAAATGCATTTATGTTGTATAAAGTACAAAAACAACATGTGTGAAAATTTGGAGTAAATCCATCTGGTGGTTTTCCTGGAATCATGATGACAAGAAAATGAGACTTCAGAATGCCACCTTGTGTAACCCCATTTTAGTGCCTTTTGCCCCTGTATATATCAATATAAAAGATGTTTTCTATATGAGGGAAGTCTGTTCTTTCAAACAGTACAATCAATTCTGTGGGAAAGTATAAACACAAAATGCATTTATATGGTATAAAGTACAAAAACAACATGTGTGGAAATTTGAAGTAAATCCATCTGGTGGTTTTCCTGGAATCATGATGACAAGAAAATGAGACTTCAGAATGCCACCTTGTGTAACCCCATTTTAGTACCTTTTGCCCCTGTATATATCAATACAAAAGATGTTTTCTATATGAGGGAAGTCTGTTCTTTCAAACGTTACAATCATTTTATGTGGGAAAGTACCGGGCAACAAACTCCTTTTCTAGAACCCTTTTGAAAATCAGACCAGGGACTATCTTCTTGACCTATATTCAGCACTGAATTGATGTATAGGCCACTTATTAGGGTCATAATTCAAATATATCAATACAAAAGATGTTTTCTATATGAGGGAAGTCTGTTCTTTCAAACGTTACAATCATTTTATGTGGGAAAGTACCGGACAACAAACTCCTTTTCTAGAACCCTTTTGAAAATCAGATCAGGGACTATCTTCTTGACCTATATTCAGCACTGAATCGATGTATAGGCCACTTATTAGGGTCATAATTCAATCATGAAGTGTAGAGGCATAGATTCCAGCCAAGGAAGTATTTTTGTGTCTATCGATTTAAAATCCATTTGCATCCTATACATCCCTACATTTTATCCAAATATGTTACTCAATAATGAAATAATCTTTGGTTTTACAAAGTTATGATAAATAAAAGTAAAATTTGATAAGTAAAAGATGTTGTTGGAACATTTTTCTATAGCCATTTTGTAGGTAAAAAATGATGAAAAAATGAATTTATTATATGACCTGGATCGATTGCAAACTTCATATTTGCACATTTGATGAAATAAACCATTGCTGTCATATGCTGAAATTATTAAGTTTGCAATCGATTCAGGTCATAGTGTATTTTTTTGTGAAAATCAATGGGAACCAATGGCCTCTATTGGGATCTGCTGATTCATTTTGACCATGGTGGTTTTTGCCAATTAACGCACCTCTTCCTTTGGGGACTTATATTTTAACTACCTCGTGTATCTGCCGTCGTGGTCACTTCAAGTATCACAAGTAACATCAGTAAGTGATGTACTGGAGCCATCTTACGACCTATCTTTCAGCTTTGAATTATCACAAATCTGAAAAAACAATATTATATTTGGTAAGTATATATATAAAGTATAGGTGTGTTTAAATTACCGTTTGTGTATTTATTAGATATGTTTTCAATTAATAAACGGAACATGTGTTTTTATGAAAAACGCAAATACTAACTTTGTTTAACTACGTTTTAAATAACTATAAACATGGTTGTTTTGATATATAAATTATATAATAAAATAATCAGTTTGTTATTTTTTGGCAGTTTTTCTCCATTACTTATCAATCAATCATTATAACCACCTACCGGGCCTGTTCTAGGGGTATTAGTTCTAGTTCAGAAGACTTTTATTTAACTATATTGACCTGTTTAATATGTAACGTTATAGTGGCGGGGCAATATTAGTATTTGAGCCCGCCAATACTCCCTGGGAAATGAGATATCGTTACTAGTGCGTATAATTTTCGTTCAGTGGCAGTCCGTTCTTGCTATTTCAGCTCTGGGCATAAACGGGTTTAATAATAATAATAACGTCATTTCTTCGGGCAAAATCGTGAATTTTTTTCCATTTCTCATTTATTCCATATATAACATAAAATACATTACAATATTATTGCCTACGTTTTTCAACATTGTCGGCAATATACAAAACATATAAAGATGGAAACAATGAAAATACAATAGATAAGGTACATAATATTAATGGCAGGGAATGTTAGAGGCTTTCGGGGGGGGGGGGGTTAATCTAAAATATCAAGAGCCTGGCAGATGTAATGGCTAACTATATGAATAATTTGTTCATTATCAGTTACTGTGAGATTTCTGTCTCCAAATAATAAAAATTGAATTTTTTCATAAGAGTTTAAATTTTGGAAACATTGAAAAATCCTAAGGTTTTTAGTCCTGCTAGGAGAGTGCATCTTTCTTGTTGCAGCAGAGGGCAGTTTAATAAAAAGTGATGCATTGTTTGTTGTATGTCACCACATACGCAGAAAGGGTCATTTACTGTCACAAAGTTATGGGAATATAAATGTGCTTTTAGAATCAGAATTTCAATTTTTCTTGGCATTGTCATATTCATTTTAGTAGTGGATACTCTGGAGTCGGGGCTCATATTTCCTCTTACTAACCTTTTAAATCTAGATATTGGTTGGCCTTTCCTGTCCTCATATGGTATGTCATCCCACAGGGTCAGAGCCCTGATAATGGTTGACTTTTTGAACGAATTACTGATTGGAAAGGGTATTCTATAATGCCTTGGTTGTCTTAGGGGCCGATTTGGAATATTCTCGTATGAACTAACTAAATCACAAATGAAAGGAGGGAAACAATGGTATCTAGCCTTGAAAGCAAAAATTTTAAGATGTTCTTCTCTCCTGGAAGCTAACGTTTTCCAGTTGAGTAATGATAAAACTTTCGATGTGTTTGAACCGTGTATTGCTCCTGACACATGGCAAGCTGCTTGATAATGAAGTCTATCCAATTTTAATAGTTTTGAAGTTGATGCCTTATCATATATTTAAGGAATAAATAATGATAGGCCATTCAATATGGTGAAATTCAGCACGAGTTGGACAGAATGTTGTACAAAGCACGAACCGAAGGTGAGTGCATTTGTACTAACATTCTGTCCAACGAGTGCTGAATTTCACCATATTGAATGGCCTATCATTATTTATTCCGATTCAAACATAAAAATTAGAAAAAGCCGTGTCTGTGGAACGGGCATGAAGGAAGAATACGCATGCTGTCAAGATTCTGAAGTCGGCCGGAAAAATTTTAGAATTTGTTTGGGCTGTTCTATTTTTCTCCCCGTTTTAGATTTTATACGGTGTATGCAAACATGGGGTGTAGTAGTTACGGAGGGAGTAAAAAAGAACAGCTATCCCCGGACAGAGTCCCAGATGTGCAGCTGAGATGTGACGTCACTCAAAACAATGCAAATTGCAGATTGAATAGAGCATGGTCGTGCATCTATGGAGAATTAGAGAACGTTCTATATTGGCTATGCTGCATTCTGATTGGTTGAGAAATTCGAATAGAGCACGGTCATGTTTGAATGTATCACAGTAGTCGAAATGTGGTAGTATAAATGAATTATATATAATATTCTCTAGGTATTTACTGTTTAGTATTTTAGTTAACTCTTTCAATGGTCTAATGAGAAAGATTACTCTCTCTATGAGTTGGTCAACATGTGAATTAAAGTTTAGATTTTGATCAAGCACTAAGCCCAGGTGCTTGTGTTTGGTACAACTAGGTATGACATCTCCTCCTAGTTTTAAAGGGACTGGCTCTTGTAATAGTCTTCTATTTCCTGATACAAAGGTCAAGTCAGCACTTTTTTTGTGCCTTAGAAGTCATCTTCCAAGGCATGGCCCAATTTGCCAAAATGTCAAGATCTCTTTGAAGTGGTTGGTGAATGTTTAAAATCTGATCAAAACTGTCATGTGCACTATAAATAGATGTATCATCAGCAAAAATAAATGTTTTGGAAAGGAGATCATCTGGTAGGTCATTAATGTAAATAAGAAACAGGAGGGGCCCGAGGACTGGTCCTTGTGGTACACCTGCATTGATTTTATAGTTATTTATATTGTGATCATTGTTATTATTATTGTTATTTATTCCATTATTAAGATTTCCATAATTATCAGAGGACCAATCAGATAAGCTGTTGTTGACTTTGGCTCGAACCCTTCTGTCTTTTAAATATGATGTCATTAGCTGTACAAAATTGAAATTACAACCATAGCCTTTAAGTTTCTGTATAAGTAATCTATGCGGGACTAAATCAAAAGCGGCTGTTAAATCTAAGAAAGCCGAGCGAACATATTTATTTTCATCTATATTTTCATGGATATTGTGAGCAATGTTAATTAACTGGTTAACGGTGCTGTGCTTCGGGAGAAAACCACTCTGGAATTTGTATAAAAGGTTGTGTTGAAGCAGATGAGCCAAAAGATGTTTGTGAATGATGGTTTCAAGAACTTTCGAAAGGTTACTTAGGAGTGTCACCGGTCTATAGTTGCTGACAAGTTCCCTGTCTCCTTTTTTATAAATAGGAACAATAATACCTTCTTTCCATATATCAGGGAGAGTGTTCTCTTCTAATATCCTATTAAATAGTTTACTGGTTGGTAAAGCAAGAGATCTGGCACATAGTTTTAACATTTTGTTATTAATTTCATCAGGCCCTTGAGATTTAGTTGTGTCAAGATCATGTAAAAGTTCAAAGACTTCTTCAGTTCTAAAATTTTGCATGGTATGTTGTGTTCTAAGTTGGAAGGGAGGAGTGTAGTCATCATTTATGTTAATTATGTTTTTTCCAACAAAGTATTTCATAAGAGCATTGGCTTTTTCATAGCTGGTACAGGCTGTAGTATTTAAAGTGGGATTTCTCAATACTGGTATTGTTGACATCGTGAAATATTGCCCTTTGAAATGACGTTATTGTACTATTCAGTGGCGTATATTCGATCATGCGAATTTTAATAATTATACTTCATTAGGACTCACCCTATGTATAGTCTGTCACGTGACTTTATGGATGATGGGTGGGCGAACCGTTCGCGAGTCTTTTCACTACAGTTTTATGATGATACTTTTAACATGGTTTTAGACTTTTATCTCCGTGAAACTTGTCCCAAAACTTGTAAATCGTCTTTAGACATTGATGGTACGGGACAAGTTTCACAGAGGTACAAAGTCTAAAACCATGTTAAAATGTTACATATATAGGATTGGCCTAAAATGCGAATTTCTATTTTGCATAAACTTTTTTGGCAACGCATGAATTTGCGGGAGACGTATTATCAATTTTACAACTGATATTTTAACAAACAAGATAACGAAACACTTTGTGACAAAAAATAGAAGAACCTTTAAATAGCAACTTACTTGATTTCAGGCAAAAATAGTTGATTTCATATTATTCCATAGTTAGCATGATATTCATAGGATAACATGTGAAAATAAAAACGGTATTTTTGTAATCAGTGGTAAAATATGATATTTTTGACATTATCTATTAATAAGGTGGAAATGTATGGGATGGTATGGCATTTACACTCATTCATGGGATCCGTCTGTCTGATCTGCAGCATGTGTACAGGTGTCAGATACCCCAACTATTACGTAATACTTTGTTACGTGACACATGATCCTAGCTTGAGAACGAACATGGGTTTGAATGCTATTGATACATGTTTAGTTAGCATCATGTATCAAGTGCCGCCCCAAGCCAAAGTAAATCAATGTTAAGTTTTTGTATTTAATTGCTTTAATTGTACTTATCTACTGATCTAAATAAATCTGTTATTTAAATATTCTGCTTTTGTTATTTATAAATCATTATTTTAACGAAATTTAAACCAACCTCGTAATACAAAACGAGTCAGCTGTTTATCTTAATTTATTCCTAATTCTTCATCAGAGAGTGAGAGAATTGTTAAAACGTATTTATGATTAGAAACCAATTAAAACTCCTAAATATTCATTTTAATTTATTCATAATTCTTCATTAGAGAGTGATGAAATTGTTAAAACGCATTTATGATCAGAAAACGTTACCTTATAAACCCAGCAAAACTCCTAAATATTCATTTACTGAAAAACGTATATTCTTATATTTCATCATATAATTTAAAAAATGCTTGCCCAGGCCACCGCCTCGCCCGATATGTTTTCTCGAATAAGTAAGCTGCTATATCTAGCTCCTGAGCAGCCAGTATTTGTATAATACTTTAATTAGCATTTTCTTTTTACAGCCACATTAAAACTCATTAATTTAACAGTTTGTTTACACTAACTAAAATAAAAAGGTTAATGATAAAATCATTATACTTAATCTACTTATGAAAAAATATTATCAATACATACATATTATCCAACGTATTTGTTGAATGGGTTTGTTTTGTCCACTTGATGTTCAAAATGGAACGATATGCTGATCAAGATTAAACCCTGCTTGGTGATTTAAACGGTGACCTCTGAAATGATCTGACCAATGAAACTCCCAACTCATCGGAGGAACATCGCCAAAATCACAATATAATTAATGGTATATGGTGTGTCTATTGTTGCCATGTGTATAATCTCGTATGACTCTTTTCCAATAGAAATACAGGTTGTCGAATATGCAACGGTAATCTTTCTTTCAAAAAATATTTGGCAAAGAAATAATATGTACGGTACAGGTAGGTTATCGCCAACAATTTCAAAAGTTATATCATGGATTATGACTATTTTCTGACCATGGCTTTTACTGCCAAAAAAATTTGAAGTAACAACAATTTGATCTGTAGAAATGAAATCATCTGGAAATCTTCTGATTTGAAAGTGAATTAAATAATAACTTTTCGAAATTGAAGAGTTGTTAGTCTTAAAGTTATCTAAGCTGACGTTTGGGAAATACCATGTGGTCTACTATAAATGTGAACAGAGTACAGTGGATGATAATTGACCTCTGGAGACGCCAAAATATGAATGGAAAGTGTGACGTTCCATCAGTTCTCCATATCATAAATACGACATTGCATGGCCATAAAAACCGTAAAAAGGGTAGAACGAGTGATACTTAACACGGACATTTTTCAAGGCAGGTCTTAACAAACTTAAAGGCTCAAAATGTTCTTTACTTGGCTCGCTCACTTGGCAAGGAAAGAGTGTATATAGTTTAAGTGTGTAATTGCTAATAAAACCAGACAACGTTATATTATACAACTTTCCAAAAGTCAGACAATGTTATTTAATTTTCCGAAAGAAATTTCAAAATATATATCCTAACTTGAGTCAGTATCATATCATCAAAAATTGAATTATTCCGAAACAAACAGATAAGCCGAATTGATTCAAAAAATTAAAAAATTCACAAAAACGATCTGGCTTCGTTGACATTACAATTATAAAACTAAAAATTGGTATTGAACAAACATAACATGCTACCTTGGCACCTTCAACCATATGTCGAAGTAAAAGTTAGTCAGTATTTGATAGAGAGCTTTCGATGTAAGTTATTTGGAATACGTATGCGCAAACGTGTACGCATATGTGGATATCTCGTGGTGAAAACACCCTTGAAATCTTATGTATGTTACACAATGGTTTATCTTATGCAAATGATTTGTTCTGAGAGTGCCTTGCACACCAGATTTTTGAAAATCACCACAACCAGTTGCAGCATAAATTTAATGAAATTCCACTTCAAGTTGAAGATCACCATGCTAGTTATTTAAAGTGGGTAAAGTTTGTTTGTAATTGGATAAAAATCACAAGGGCATTTAAAAGTGCTTTTGATAGATTATACAGATTGTGTGGTGAATGTTACATAGTAAAAATATATAAGGCCCAACCATGTATATCAATTCAGGACACATTGCAAGTTATAATACCAAGTGTACAATTAGACACGCAAATTTCTCTGTGCCATCCGTCAAAAATCTGTCAGAAAAGCTATAATGCAGGAAGAAAAATATAAATATATTCAGGAGTTTTTGATCAAACACTAAACATCAAGATTGAGCAAACAAATAATAAATGGAAATACAATGAGAATTAAGTACCAGAAATAATGTATGTTGGGTGTGTAATAAATATGCTGATAACAACTGCCTGAACCCAAAAAGACAACAAATACAAAGGCATTGCATTAATTTGAAAAAGACTTTAATGCCAGTGACATAACAGATACTTTGAGGAGTACACCAAAAACATGAAACTCCAAAAGCCATGTGTAAAATCGTTGAACTTGGTATGACACCTGGTCGTGCCAGAGATCCAAGTATTTTCAAAAAACGTGGGCCAAAGCTCCATTTTATTCATTGCTACTCAGATTGTCCCCTCTATATCAATATTTTCTGTACTGCTATGGACATTGTATTTCATTCATGAAATAAAAGTGTCTACTTTGAAATAATGTTTTTAGAGCAAGTCAAAAGTGATATTTATCACTGGTACTTTACTCGATGACGCCGGTTACTTAAACGTTGTGATGGCTCTCCCTGAAAGTAATACCATCATATCAAAATTTAGGATTACTTTCTCAGTTGTTGAATCACAAATTGTATGGCTTTATCGACAGTGCGAGAAAAATTTCGTTTTGAATAGCGAGTTTTGCGTGTCATTTAACTTATTTCAACCGTAAAAATTACTCCTTATTTTCGGACAAAGATGGAATATTAGAAATATCGTAAGAGGGTATTGCAACACATGTTGAAGAATACATTCAGAATTCATTACCAATACTCATAACATAAAATATAGCGGTAGACTAGTATTCATACAAGATATCTATCATTCTGTCTCAAATGATGTGGGACAAAGAAAAGCCAATATTGAAGTCCATAAGCGAATCAAAAGGTCAACATTAACCCGGATCCGCAACGCCCATGCCAAACTTCATACTCCATTAAAATATTTCAAGACTAAAGCTAAAAGTGATAGTGGAGATAAGTTTGGTGATTTATTGAGGCCACACATTCAAGAACTTGTTTGTTCTTTGAAACACATATTAATGCATTTGGTCTACCAGTTTTTTTTAATGTTAAACCGGTGTGAAAGAAATGATTGTCCCTCAGGGATTATGGTCCCCCTTTCTAACAGCCCTAACTGACCCTGATTGCGTATAAGATAATGAGGGAAAGAGTTGTATTTAGGTCACCATATATCAATGGAGAGTAGGACCATAATTTGATAGGACCTCCTACCCCTTTACACCGGCCCATGCGTCTTTATTGGTCTCAATACACCAACAATGCTTCAATTTTATCAGAAATATAAATTACAATTATAGTATATAATAACTACGCTATATGGACTTGGATTATGTGTGTCCCTCGCCATTTCAATATCTGGTTTAAAGAACGACGTTGAATTAAGTTCACCATATTGTTTCCAATTCTCTCTGAAGGAGCGCGATTCGCGAATACTTAAGGATTTAGCCCTGAACTCAGTGTAATGTGGAATGGCCATTCCTTGAAGGTGTTGTTTTCCACACGAGAGTAGTTTGTTTGTCTCTTCTTCAGCTGTCCAGTGCACAGTAGGAGAGCAATGCGTTTCAAAATCTAACATGACTCTCTAAGTGAGTAAATGCCAAGAACTTCAGACTTTTGTAGAGGACCGAAAGACATATACGGATTGATTATAATGAATGTAAGTAAATAAGGCTTATTCAGCTCATTTTATCATTCAAAATTGGATTTGACAGTATTTTTTGAAACTAATTAATAGCTCAGATGTAGTAGGTGAAGCAATATTTTCGATTTCACATTATTTGATATTAGAAGACTGTTAAACTAGATCATCACTTTTTGACGTAAAAGGTTGTTATATAAATGGGACTATACTGCCCAGTTTTTATAGTCTATAGACAAATGTAATACCTGGGTCACATTTGCTGCGATTCATCGGCCGGCGCCCGGCCGATTGAGTATTTTGTTCAAAGTTAAATACATTTCTGAACAAAATACTCAATCGGCCGGGCGCCGTATTGAAAATCGGAGCAAATGTGACCAAGGCATAAGCAGACGACATAATCCCCCTGGGCATATAGAAAAAGAATGATAAGTTGTCTCGGGGACAGAGGCAACCAGAAAATATAGTCCGCTTGGACATGAACATCTAGAAAATTAAGAATAAGATGTCTCAGGGACAAAATTAACTTGAAATCATTGTCTCCTGTATTTGCATTATATCAAAAATGATCTCATGAAAACGAGGGAACGAATTTATGCCAATGCATTTTAGTTCCATCTTATGCAGAATATGCGTAAAGAAAAAAAGGTCAGACTGTGAGTCGATCCAGACCATAGGCAACACTCAGAGGACAGTTCTTACGTTAACTGGTCAACTCGTACCCAAGACAAGTCGTACCCAAGACAACTGGTACCCACGACAACTCGTATCCCAGTATATATTTTGTTTTGAATCAAGCGCGTTGGACTTATGGATTTTTGTTACTTCAGACTCAAAACGAGGCTAATTAGTGTCAACATCGCCGGATCGTTTGGAAAATTCGAATTAAATCACTTAATTAATTTCCGACGATTCTGATGATGACTTTAACTATGGAATAAAAAGAACATCCTATGATTTACTCATGGATATTGATATCTGCACTCTCTCGCTACGCTTGCTCGTGCAGATATCATATCCATTCGTGGATAAAAATCATATCACTCATATCCTCTTTATATTTTGATAGTACTTCGTTAAATATTTTGATAGTATATGAATTATTAAAGGAATGAATCTATAATAGATAATCATGGTAAAGGTAAATATTCCTATTTGAATCATATTTGATTAATGCAAGGAATTTCTTCCCTAATTCAAAAAGTTTATTGCATTGAGAAAATTTACTGTTTTATACAAATCCCAGTCACCCTAATGTTTGAGACGAACTGTATATTATATGATATGCAAAACATCAACGTCAAATTGTAGATGATTGGCTTACGTTGTCAAAAATATTAGCACTTCTTTTTGATTGGTTGTTCATTTTCCGAAATCTGCAATATTAGTAAACATATTTGAAACGTTTCAAAACGCATGAGGATCGATTGCTATTATAGCAAGTATTTGTTGATTAAGGAGAGCTCCAGGTAAGAAATATAGTATTAGGTAGTTATTTACATTTATGCTAAAACAGTAGATTTTATATCCTTTGGGAGTTTTTCTCTTCTCAAAGGTCATGTCTTTATACAGAGTGGCTCTTCTGCATGGGAAGTATACGCATTGATGTCTTTTAGTTTCAAAATAAAATCAATCAAAAGATTTATTTGCAATAAACCACGCGGGGACGGATACTGAGTAGCCTAGCATGCTATTAAATCGTAAGGTAATGATTAGAAAAACTAGTCCTATTTTTGTTCTATTTTAGTTCTATTTTCACATCACATTCTCAAACTTTTTTCATATAGTAAGTTAGACATTAAAGGTCATTTTTAACCGCATCAAAGGTGTTATAATGAAAACGTTTCTTTTTTTAACCTTTCAAGATTACTTTCTTTCAAAATAATAAGGTTGCTAGTTGCTTATGTATGAGACATTTTTGCATTTCTTATAACTTGTGAAGAGGAATAAATAAATCTTAAAGGAGTGGTATCGATACGGTGAACTTCTTGAACATGCGTTTCTCTTAAACCATTCATCAAAAAATTCTGAAAATTTTACAAATCGTCAATTTAATGGTCATCTTTTGGATGGTTATTTGAATTATATATATACCTTTCTCTATATTGTTTTAGAAACACACCAGACACTTTTGTTCTTGGTATCATATTATTCCACGCAAATTTAAATCAAACTTAACAAAAAATCAGTTCAATACTCTCGAACAATAATATGAAACAAACTACCAACTTCCCTTCAATATTTACCATCATTTGACTCCATTAAATACAATTACAAAAAACATTAATAAATTGTTACTGAGCCATGAGCATGTACTGTTATTTTTCCACAAATGTACTATGTTTGTATTTTTCACTTTTGCCTTGTTTATGTGCAGGCATTTTTGTATATTGTTGTATTTTATGACTTGAGCTGGCATGATATCTATCTTGCTTCATTCAATTCATATTAATTGTAACATATTTTATAATGTTCAACTTTTGATTTTTGCACTGATAATACTAAATGAATATGATAATACATAAATAAATAAATGTTCGGAATGAAATGAAACATCTATCCGAACCTAATTGGAACAAAATAACATAAACACAACGTGTTTGTGTCTCTCAATATTGTAATTGTACAAAGCAAAGTTTGTTTGATTTAAAAAAAGTATCTTGTTAATGGAATACAAGGTCTATCTTAATTTTTATCTGTTTTGGGGGGTTTTGTCTTTGCATACTTTTTGTGAAATCAACCAAATTTCCTTTGTATAACTATAATATTGAGAGGTCTAAGAAAATGTTGTATATGCTATTTTATTCCAACAAAGTTTGGAAAGACATTTTATTTTATTCTCAAGAATTGGTAAAAAGGAAAAAAAGAATTGCATTAAAAAACAAAAAATGATTACAAAAACAGTTATATAAAATAAATATAAATACTTTTCGAATGTTGAATTCAGTTCACCATATCGATACCTATCCTTTGAATTCATTGGTTCGCATGCCAAAATAATTATAATATACGTGTAGATCTTACTTGGATGAGCTGAAATCGATTTGAACGACTTCCAGCAACTTGGATGATACAAACTCCAGTTGTTGACCAGTGATAATGAGGCACATGGGGCAAAAATTGATTGAAGGGTGTTCTTCCTGCTGTGAACTAAACACAGTCATAAGCTTGATGAAGCGAGATTTAACCCTGAGATGAACCAGCAAGCCATTTACGATATGAAATACTTGGCACAAACAACAATATATCAATGTGGAGCCAGAAACATAACATTTAAAAGTTGATGTAATATATGTGGTACCATGGTGTGCCATAATTAGGGGACCATAATTTCTTTTACACCGGTATGTCCTAGCATTTTAACATTGTAACATTGTAATTTTAAAATGCCTTCCCACATAGCTACTAGTCTTTTGGTTATATACAACAGTGACTCTAAACGAATGGATACAAGAAAATATGCCAATAAATAATAGAAAATATTGAAAATCTCAGATACATTTGAAGTATCAAATTTTGAGGAATTTTCACCGGGGTTCGCACGAAATGCTCGAATCCCCGGTCGCTACAGGCATGTATTGTGTGCGGTATTTGTTGATAAACCAAAAATACGTTTTCCGCATATCAAGATTTAGATCAAGTCTCCTGTTAGTCTAAGATATTATCAAAAATAGCTAGCCATTAATCATAGAGTTAGATGTAGCGAAATTCGTAGGAAGTTGTACCTGACTGTTGTTGGATAGGACGGGAAAGAACGGTAGAGAGAAGGGTACATCCGACTGAATCTGCTTGTTTTGCCTAATTGTGTTTTAAAATGCCCCTAAGTATATTCACAAGTAAACTTGGCGATAATTTGTATTAACTAAATTAAAACACATTACTCCGAAATCCAATACTCAAACGAAAAGTAAGGTTAATCTTTAAAATATAAAGATACATTTAATCAATATTTTCAGATCAAAATAAATATATTAAATTGGCCTGATGTATCAATGTTTTCAAAGTTTATTGCGCGTTTTATCTGCTTTGAAAACGCCTTTCTTTTCTCATATCGTGATATGTATTTTCTTCACTTAGAATCAACGAGTCGATTAGCATTGCCAATATATTTTCAAAAGACGGGATGAAATTGCCAAAATGTTTAAATAAGTCAGCGTGTATGCAAACGAGTCGAGTCTGTTTGATATTTCTACTTTTATATGTTCTCAAACAGACTGCGAAAACATGAATAAATAGAAAAAGATCAAAATTAAAAGTACCAGAGAAAATACTCGGAATATTTCAATACTACCATTAGTAAAAAAAAAATATACCGTTACCTATGATTACTTTATTATAAATACTGTATGTATTGCTTTTAGTAATTAGGTTAGTTGTTTACACAAAATCATGTTCAGTGTGCCAAGAGCGCAAATACTTTTTGGCATGGTCTTTGCACTGATTTTCACGGTGTGTGCCCAAGAAGTGCATAGAGGTGTAAAGAGTTTGATTCATCGCTTGTTAAGAGTCGTGCAAAGCCGCTTTGCATGCCGCATTAAAGCGCCATCAAAGCGCCGTTGGTGTGAACTTAGCTTAAATGAACTTAGGCGGAGTGAAGTTTGTCATTAAAATAATAAAATAGAAGCACGTGTCAAAGAATAGACCAAATGTATCTCTAAGGTGATCTTAGATTGTCCGAAGTCAACCATTATAAATATTTGGAATTGCTATTTGTACTCGAGATGTTTTATAAATGTTTACTACATGTAGGTCCTAGAGCATATATTTTTCTCATCTTCAGTTGCTTTCAGATACCACAAGCAAGGCGCTGGACATCGGAGGGTGAAACGTGACAATTTTTGTAAGATGTCAATAATTGCTGATGGAAGACTTACCAGATGTAGACTTGGCGATTTCTTAAAACAGGATATCGCAAATCCTGTCGTTTTTACAATGTATCCTAGCTCTGCGTTGAATACAAACTATCCTTTGAAAAATCTCAAGAAGTACCAAACGATGGAGTTCCCATTTTATTCATTTGATTCGGCTGCTGTCTGGGCAATGGTGACCATTGCAACAATCGGCTCTGAGGTACCTGTTATGGTGTTGGAGATCCCCAGAAATCTGGATTCGCTGAAGGCACACTGGAGCCGATGGATGCCCTATTATGAAGAATGTACGGATATTAGGGTTCTAAATGATGACAATCTTGCTAAGGTTGATGATGGCTCGTTATTTACTCAAATGCCATGTGAACAAATCTCAGATCAAAAGTACACAATTAATCCTGATACATTCTACGAAATCTACTCTAAGGCATTTATCCCCAAAATAAAAATTAAACAACCAAGAGACATGGTGAGAAAAGAGGCAAAGGCTCCATGTGTGATCAAAGTTCCAGTTGCCGCTGGTAGTGATGGTGTAAAGATTGCGACAACTGATCGAGAAATTCTCGAATATGAAGAAAGGGTTATGAAAATGGGTTGGAAAGGAGAGTTAGTCTTTCAAGAACGTTTAACTGACGTAATAGGTGATCGTGGAGTTCAGTTATACATTCATAAGGATGGCTCTGTCAACCTTGGAGGTTTCAGCAATCAGACTTTTAGTAGTAGCCCTGCGAGGAATTGGACTGGAGGTATCTTTTATAGGACTCCAGAAGAGGAAAAAATTAATCTACGTATGGTGAAATTCCTGCAGCCTGCGATCAAGAAGCTTCACGAGATGGGCTACTTTGGTTATCTTTGTTTTGATGTCATGGAAACACGTAACGGGGAACTGTTTCTGACCGACATAAATCCAAGGGTCTCGGGATCGAATCCTCATGTTTCGATGATAGATGGAATGGCAGGAAAAGGATTTCCAATATCGATGTTCGTGTATGCTGAATCAAAAGATTTGACAATCAGCGTCGAGCAGTTGATATCTCGAGCAGACTGCCTAAATAAGGGCAACGATGATGCCGTTATAATTATTCTTGCGGCACAAGCTACGAAGAACGGCACATTGAAAACGGTGATTTCTATATTTGCAACTACCAAGTGCTACCTACTAAAAGCTAAAGAAAATGCTTTTAATTTCTCCCAGGCGTAACAGTGATAAGAATACATATCGGCATTTTCACGAATAAGTGACATTTTTTCAGTATTGTTTTGTGTAAGGGAATATTCAATTGAAGGTATATTAGACAGGTTCCAATTTCCATAATTCAAGTTTTGAGGCATTTTTTAGAAAAAGCAACAGACCTATTTTTACCAAATCAGTTTTTCATGCTGATAAAGATATTAAAAGGTGACATCTCAGCGGAATGGCCATGACACTGAATTTTGGCATTTTTACCCCCCTATGAAAATATTCTAGGGGGAACTATGAAATTAGTTCAGAACTCAAAAGATATATGACCAATTGTTCTGATTTCTACACCATAAATTGCTAGTACAAATCTGAATACCGTCCTAAAGGTATAGCCTGATATCCTCATTGGTCTCAAAATAATACAATAAATAGGAAAAAGATACGCAATATTTGTCTAGCCAAATTTACATTTGTAGCTTCAAGCAAAACATGACAGCTTTAACAGCTCAAAGTAGTATTCTAACAACATATCCAAGCTATGTGTGAAATTGTAATACATCTATTTTAGTGATGAAGTACTATTTTGTAATTTTAATTTGACTTTATAGTGCCCTACCCCTGGAAAATAGAAGAAAGTGGACGTGGTCAATTTCATCATTTTGCAGCATTAAGTTAATAAAATGTATTATTAGACACCAATCAATGCACTCAAAACATTATCAAATGTTAGGTGAAATTTTAATTCATTCATTACTAGAATATAGGACTTTAGATATTTTACATGTAAGTTTTCAATTTAGTACATGTATCATAATGAAATCTAGTGTAATCACATACTACAGAGGTTGGCATTTAGTCTGGACATTGACATAAAGTCTAAACATTATGATCATCAATTGATCTCATTTGAGCAACTAGACTATGGTGGCAATCTTGCTCAAATACTATGGTGTCCCATGTACTAGGCCATGGGCCATTTGAGCCATACATACCTCCGGTATATACCTAATAATCCTTTACAACGCATTCAGAAGGGTCATTTAAAATGTGCAAATCATGGCAAAAGTTCAGTAAAACTGTTAGTTCTCATCATCTGACCATATAGCAGAGTCCTCATTAAGCCATCATGCATCACAGCCAGATTTTAAAAAAGTAGCTAAGAATCTTTATTAACCAAAGATGACTTTCCGGCAGTCAAGCTAGCTGCAATATGCATAAAAGGTTTGCCACTTGCTCGTAGCCAGAGGAGTGGAGTTGCAGCCAATACTTGCTTCTTATTATTGGTGGTAACATTGTCAAACAGTGCCAACATCACTAACTCTAGACACAGATACCACAGATGGTGCCTCACACTTGTATAAACTAGTGTAACTTATTTACTGTTTATCCTTTAGCATATATAGCGAGTGGGCTGGTACTGGTAGCTATCAGCACTCACTTTGACAAAAATTGTTTCAATTTCGAATATTTTTGGCTCCTATCATTCCTTGTCATGTCCTTTTACTTAATATCCTTATGTCTATACTTTATTTAAAGAAAACTTTTTTTTATTTTTATTCATTTTTATTTTTACAATGATGCATTTGTTTTCCTATAAAGATGATAACCATATTTATTATTATTTGGGAGAATTTGAACATTTCCCCCCTTTTTACAATTTGAATCGTAAACAACTTTACCAATTAATAACATATTGTGGATCTTTAGGGAGATATTATGATTTGAGATTGTAAGAAATACATTGGTAGGTCAACTGTTCACGTTGCTTTCAATTTTGTTTTCTGCCTAAATACCAAGACTTTAGTTTACTTCAACTGTCATAACTAAAGCATTTGATAGTATTACATTAAAGGAGCAAGTTGGTTATCGCAAACAATTTCGGACAATTCTAACTTGAATTATGAATATTTTCTGATCATGAACATGGGTATATCTTTTAGACCCATTCATTATCTTCAAGAAAAGTATAATGAAATTAATCAGACCTAAGTGATATTAAAGGGGCGATGGACCAATCAACATACTTTAAAAAAAAATGTTGACCTAATTTTTACTAAAAATGCAACCTTTTATATGATATTGTTGAACGCATATCTATAGAATATGCTTTGAGACATATTCTTTTTCCTGAAAGGAAAAGTGGATTCCTCCAGGGACATTATACTGAATTCGGATGACCTGAATGAGCTGAAACAAATGGATAGTATGAGTTTTTTCAATGGGGAAATGGGGAACACTAATCTTAGGGAAATTCGGTTTTCCTTTCAAGATCTATTTGATACATTAAAATAAAGAATAGTAATGCATTAAACAGTGTAAACATATTTGCATTTTTGGAGAAAATTAGGTCAACAACTTTGAAAAAATATGTTGATGGGTTGATTGCTAGCTAAATATCTCCAAGTCCGATTGGCTTTATTATCCCTGTATTTCTTTGAAATAATGAATGGATCTAAGATATATACTCGTCTTCATGGTCAGAAAATAGGCATAATCCAAATGCAATAACCTACCTGAACCTTTCCAGGTCAAATCAGGAGTGACAAAATTATTTCTACCAGATTTTTGACATGTCTTCAAATACGATAAGATAGAGTGTCACTTGTGAAATTTGTTGATTGCCCCTTGTTCATCCTGAGACCGTACCATATCTTAATGCCATAGAAGCGAAATAGCCATATTGAACTTTAATGAATGTTGTTTGCCACTTTTCGACAATTGTCAAAATTCACTCGGGAGCATTACTCTTCCAAAGCATGTAAGTGTTATTTTTTGGACCACTCACTTATTATAATGTTTCGTCTAATTTCCATCAGAGTTTCTCAGCATTGTCCAAATCTTAAGCCGTTTTTGTTGAGATTTATGAAGGTTAATTATTAAAATCTTGCCTTCCTTTGCAGTTGGAGAAGACTCGGCATTATGTGTTATAAGTCCCAGAGCACGATAGATAAAAATGACTTATAGGCCAAATAAGAAAAGTTACAACAAAATGACATAGAGCTGATAAACGTTTTCTCTTGTGTGTGTCAGCCATGGTTTACCAAATTGCTATTCAGTAGAAAGAAACTCATGTTGTAGTTTCCATTTTTATTTCCTGACAAATAGAGTGATCTTCCTAGGATTTTTTCTCTGATCTATGTTGCTGCCATAGCAACTTCTGTTTTAAAAACATAGCATGAATAGAAAATATCATTTTACCATAATTTAATCATTCCACATTGTACAGACAATTATGACGAATTAAAAATATGAGGAGAATGACAAAACCTCTTAAAACACATTTCTCAGGAAACAAATAGTGTGGTGTTCTTGTTACTATAGCAACAGAATTGTTTTCTTTTCGATTTTTATCATACCAGGTCCAATTCCTGACAATTTGAAGTAAATATCTTCATTAGTATCTGAGATATATAGGTTTCTTATAATATCCCCTGCAGATTTTAACGGAGTGTAAGGAAAATGCCCTGAAGAGGGTTGCCTGAAGAGGATGCCACTTCACAGTTCTGGTATTTTTGAGGTCCCAACCCTCTATTCATGTGAATAGTTAACCATTGTAATGCTACTCATTGTAAACTGACAAAAAATGATTGTATCTTCCACTAAGAAGTCAATAGAATATTAAAACCAGAAAAAACCAACTTTCTGCTATTTACCAGGGGTACGGCACTATAAAATCCTATTAAAATTACAAAATAGTACTACATCACTATAATAGATATATAACAATATCACACATAGCTAGGGAATGTTGTTAGAATTCTACTTTGAGCTGATAAAATTGTCATATGTTGTTTGAAGCTACAAATATGAAATAGGCAAGTAAAAAATGACAAAAATTGCATATTTTTTTCTTATTAATTGTATTTTTTCCGAAACCAACAAAGATATCAACCTATAACTTTAGGATAGTATTCATCTCTGTACTAACAATGTATGCTGTTGAACTCAGAACAATAGTTCATATATCATTTGAGTTATGAACTTATATTATAGTACCCCCTAAAATATTTTCCTAGGGGGGTAAAAACGCTAAAAATCAGTGTCATGGCCATCCCGTTGAGCTGTCATCTTTAAATATCTTTATCAGCATGAATCTTTTTAAAACGAGCTACTTTAGGGAGATAGACTTAAGAGTTCACACAAACTTCACATTTTGCTTCAACAAGCTTGGGACCTATCCTCACCTCGGGATAGAACGTAGTGATTGAGCGTGGAAGCCGACGATGCAAAGTTCACACAAAGATGTCAAATTCTGAAGCATGCAATTCCCACAATTTAATACTGAGATTATGATTTTTCTAAAAAACTCTATTAATAGGACTACACAGATGTCTTTATAGCTACGTGAATACTCTTTGACGAAGTGGCAGTTGATAATTAGTTTTGTAAAAATGAAACATAGGCTGAAATTTCAAACAGACCAAATTGAAATAACACGATATCTATGGTACTCCGTTGGCTCTAAAATTGCTAAAAAAAATCTTTCAAATTGCAATGCCTTACAACAAAAGACACCTACTATAGTGCTGAAAATACCCATTTGTTCTTTCTTTGAATTGAAAATATAAAATTCAAAATATAATTCAAGTCCAAGTACAGGTGACCCCCAACGTCACCCCTTAATTTGGGAATAACTATATCTCCGTTTAAAAGGACTTTTCATGATTTTTTTGTGTAGAGAGAGAGAGTTAAATGCATACATGGTGTCCAATAAATAAGGTGAAAGATATTGTAACTTTCTTAATATTGCACCAATCTTGATGAAATTTTCAGAGTTTGTAGCCTAAACCTTTTTACTTTTATTCTGTGAATTTAAAGCGTCTTCTATTTGATTGGCTAGAGTTGTGGTTGCTGTAGCAACCGAAACAACAAAAAGGCGGGGCAAGTTTGTTTACGTCACAACTTTCAAAAACATATTTATTCTTTCTGATAGCTTTATTCATACTCACAGGTCTATTACTACCACAAATACAATATAAAAACAGTCCTAAAGTCCCATTTTTATGAAAATAAGCTATTCAAGATAATGTCCATCTCTAGCTATACACTTCTTATGCCTAAGCACCCACTCTCTAAACACACTTAATATTGATTGAAGACACCCTGTAAATCATTGGAATTTACCTAATAAGCAGTCAGTGCATCATACTGTATAAGTGGTATTTAATCCGAGTGGTTAATTTTCCGAATGGTCAAATTTCATCATTTTCCTAATTTTAATTTTCCTAATGACAAGAAACCTCCCATTGGATTACATTATAAAGACAATATTTCCGACATTTAATTTTCCGAACCTGGCAAAAATTAGGAAATAGGCAAATTAAATGATAAGGCAAAATTACCACTTATACAGTATTTGACGAGATTGTTGAATTGTTTAAGGGGTAGATTTTACATTCTATTGATAATATAATGTGTATGAAAGCAATCCAGAAATGGCTCAAATAATGGCTAAGACACAAATCTCAATTTCAAAAAATTGCATTTTTAACATTTTTGGACAATATCACTAGACCATACCTGGTTGGAAAATGTGATCATTTTAAAACGTGGAATTTAAACAGTGTATATACGCAGATAAATTAAAAAATCATGTTTGAGTTTATACTAAGATGAGAGGATAATTTTTCTGGGTCAACCTGTATATGGAGGTGTACACGTGAATTAAGGAGCACGCGCGTTACAAATGTCCATTGAAATTCAGCAAAAGTATAACTCTTTTGAGAATCTTGGCTATGGCCTTTATATAGCAGTCACATCACAAAAGAAATCGAAGTGGTGGATAATAAATGCTATACCCATTCAAATGCTTGTGTTTATAAATGATAAATACATGTGTGCTTTTCATACTAACTCATTTCAAAAAGTTTCTATTATTTGATATTTGCTCCTGGGGACTAATCAGTTCCGGGCAAGATTTTTTGTTTGAAATAAAACAAAACGAAGGCGCACAGACTTGAAAGAAAATGTGTTTTCATCAGTAGTAAGACAATAAGTAGTTGTTTTTATGTTAAAATAAAAAATAACAAATTTTATGTTAAATTGATTGAACAAATTTATTTATAATTATGGGAAAAATTTTCAGTTGCTTGAAAAGATTTAAAGAGTAAATCGAAATATTGCAAAACTAAATCAATTTGTTAGTATTGAGACATTTGGTTTACCATACTTTTGGAGAGAATTGTACAACTTTATTATGTTTTATTTACTGGTCATATAAATTGAATTTAATGTTTCTGGTTTTCCACAAATATTTTTTGGGGAAACCCTGTCCGTGGGTTCGTCCGAACCCACCGAACTCCCGGTCCCTACGGCTATGTCGGATGCTATATTATGATTAGTTTGCTCGGCGGATGGGTGGCTGAATTGGCACTCAAAAATATTGTCCACAGGTTTCCAGCCAACCCGTGAGTGATTCAATTAAGATTTCCAAGGATGATTCTACGTATAAAGGTTGAGAACTGGAATTCCACAGAATTCCACAGAATTCAATATTTGTATATTATTATTTCTCTGTAGTGATAATCAGCATGTGATTGGTCAGTCATGTACCATGTGACTAAAAATACCACAAGGTATTCCATCCATGTATAAGTCATCGATATGAAAGTTGTATTTAAAAAATACAGGTATTCAACTAATTTGACGTCACATGTATAGGCTACTGAAAACATGTGGCATTATTTATCCAATTTTCAATTTTGAGAAACTATATAGTTAATAAATGAATATTGTTAAACTGTAATACGTATTATTTCTTTTCTTCTCAGATTTTAGTATACACGTAGATGGGGTGAAATCAAATCAAATATTGAATTCTGTTTTCGTCCAACCGCACAATCAACATATAATATGTCCATACCAGAATTGGGAGAAGCCAGGCTGCTAGTTAATGAAGAATTCGTTAAAATTTGGGAGAAATCACACATAATTTATTTAGTAATTACATCTTATAAATTAATGCAGAATAAATATTATTTATATGAATTTGCATTTAGTTTTTTTTGATCTATTGCTTAACCTTCTAAGATAAAAGCAATGAAACGCCCAATTATGATATTTTTGTTGTGTAACTAACAATACAAATAGCAAGTCAGGCTTGAGAAATATTTTAATCAAGTCTGTAATTAATTGCCTTTTATTTCAATATGAATGTAATTGAACCTTTCTATTTTTACATAAGAAAGATGTGCATCTGTCTCACCATATTCTAAATTGTTATTTTGTCAGCAAGTTTGATTATCAAATCAAACAGCCATCTTTCGTGGCCTTAAAGCAAAACATCTTAACAGCTCCATATAACGCTAGTAATAATGTGCACGAAACTCCAATCAAACCAATAATCAATGCAGTCCAAGAAAATCCGATTTTATCGAGAATAAATCCGCCTCCAACTGAACCCGCAAAAGTCCTGAAAATAAATGAAAAAACGCCGATCTTAAAATACCAATGAGAGCATCTTGAGTTTCCCCGCCCGTAAATAGCCACGGTTTGATGTTTTTTACCAAAACTTCGTTAAAATTCAGAAAATGCTAACATTATATATCATATGGAGTAATTGCCTTTTAATTACTACATTAGAGTTAAAAAACGAGGTATTTACATGCCAAATGTCAGAACTTGCCATTTGTTATAGTCGCCGAACGCCTAACGCCGAACTCAAACCGCCGAACACAAAACGCCGGAACACCGGAATACACAAAGTATTGAGACTATAGCAATATGTCACCACTTCTGATTTGCCATCACTACCGAACAATTACCCAATTGTAAAATGTAAATCGAACACCCTGAATAATAAAGTATAAGCATATTTTACCCAATATAAAATGCAGATTTATAAAGTCCTGATGTGATTCCATAAGTATCGAGGTTTTCAGGGTATCCACTTTTACTGAAACACATTTAGATAAGCTACATTTAGATTAAGAGCTGTGTGAATATATCTTTGAAAAAAAAAGACACAGGATTTATTGATAAATGGACAAATGAAGCTTTTCATTTACATGAAACAATTGTTGTTAAAGCAGGTTATATACAGGGCGTCAAATAAGTCCCGACCCCCCTGCTAAAGTTAAAACCTTAACGGAAGGTACTTAGTGTGATATACCATTGGAAAGAGCATCCAAAGTTATGTTAACTCACCAACTCTCAAGTATTTTGGATGCAATTTACCTATATTTTTATGATGTCTTTTAAGATTAACGTGCCCTCCTTTAAGTAGCTTTTTTGCGTCAAAATGACAAGGATATGACCTCAGAAATACATCAAAAAGTTAATCTTTTTCACATTCCACTTGTTACAAAATCGTTTTCACCACTTGCACCTCTATTTTCTACACATCTAACCCTATCCAGAAATTGGTTAAATTCATCGCCATGAACATATTTAGTCATCTTTTGGCCCCGTGACCTTTCTTATACCCGACTCTTAAAATAGTGCCAAATACGCCAAAATGCCATGTTTCTAGGCATATGGTCACCTCAATTGATACAATGTAAAAATCTCTGAGATTGATTGACATGTGTCAGATATATGCCAATCAACATAACTTTGGAAGACCTTTCCAATGATATATCGCACTTGGTACCAAATATCTTGGTTTTGGCTGGAGATGGGGGGGGGGGGGTACGGGACTTATTTGACACCCTGTATATCATAAAATCGACCTCTTTTCTGCAATATTATACAGGATATATCAGTGAACTTACATTGCTGCTGTCACAAGCTCTTGGAGCGGTGGTATTAAAAGAGTACAAAAGCTTATCCCAAGTACTACACTAGCGACAATATTCAACCACAGGGAATCCCTAAAACAAAAACATTGTAGCATATTATATTATTATAGTACTGTATAATCAGTAGATTATACATTCTAAGCTATATCAGGCCTAAAAGAAGAACCATATGGAACAAATCAAATCAACATTTCCTTAAAGCTGACCCTCTTATATTTATTTTTTCATAAGAACCAGACTTTGAAGCTCTCATTTGCTCAGCTAGTATATTAATCTCTGCCTCCGTATCAATATCCACGTTCAGTATTTACTCTTGGTACAGTCCTATATTTCCTCCTAGCTCAATACATGTATGTCTTCAAATACTTACTTCGGTAGGAAAAGAAATGGTGAAGGCCCCATTAATGAGAAAGCCACTAGCGCTAACAGTCCCCCTAAAGCCATCGACCGTTTATACCAGCCCTAAAAAATTCATATAACATCATAAAATCTACCTCAAACAAACCTTCTATTGATATTTCGAATAGATACGAATTTTCTGAAATAAGAATACAATTAAAATGCTAAAGTCGAGGTATTCTCTATAGCACACGAAATATTATGCTTGTATTACAATAGTATAGACTGTCTACTACCATTATCGAAATATTGGACTGAAGCAAATAAACATCCAATGCAAGATAGACAGTGGCTAAGTGATATTTACATAATGTGTTGTTTAGACAAGAAATGTTGACGTATTCATCGTATTTATACTTGCCGTTTTATCCAGAATATAGCCAAGCAATGGCGACAGCAGGGCATAAACACCTCCTGATATTAAAAACACAGCGCCCACAAGGATAGGACTTAGATGCAACTGAAAAAGTTTTAAGAATACTCTGTGTAAGTATATGTGATATGTATGCTTTAAAACTGCTTTAGAATGCACCTACTTCCCATGATACTTTTCCGAATATATATATACATACTTCAATATACTTGCTTAGTCACTGCACGTCCTTGGTCACTGCTATATAGATGTTAATACTTAGACGGAAAATAGCTTCAAGGGACAGAAATAACTTTCCAAATGGCCCAGGTCGTTGTTTGTTACACCTTTTTAGAATGATATCAATCCGAGCCATACAGTACTTACTGGTTTTAAATGCAGAGCAAAAGAAATGTCAAGGAAACTAACGACGACTGCTCCGGCAAAGATACAGTAATATAATATGAAGGTGATGGGCATTTTGAAGAGTGGCAGAATAGACCCTTTCAACTGTGCTACGCCTGAAAATATCAGATTTAATTGTAAAAATTCCACATCATGATTTATCTTTTAACGTACAAAGAAACAGCCTCCAAAAAACCTCGTCACATTATTCAAAAACCATGATTAGAATTCAATTTTTATGATTTTACATATTATTCATCAAAGTGCGTCAGTAAAACTTTATTCATGTTAGTTTTATTTTTGTCATGGGAGACACTTTTCAATTTCCCAGACATCACATATGTGGCCAGTGTACCCTATTTTCCTTCTTTTAACAAAGGCAGACCAGATACATTAGAGTGTTTTACAAATAATAATTTCCTTATTCGAAATATTTACCTTGAGTTGATGGAAGGAGCCATATACACACTATTGCAACTATTATAACAAGAGCTCCTGAAAGGATGAAGGGGAGCTTAAAACCACCGACCTAAAAATATCAAAATGTTGAACACAACCACGTTCGCCCAGGTTGAAATAGTATACTGTAGCAATTGACCTAATTACACCTCGTTATTATGGCATACAGAGAGTAAAGCGTACCTGGTACAAAGCTCCTCCAATCACGGGTCCTACCATAAAACCAAAACCAATGACTGCTTCGATTATACCCTAAAGTGCAAAAAATCAGAAGAATATTACACATATTAAGCAAATGTTCTTTTTTAAAGTACAATTCCTGCAACATGAGGTGAACTCCTCTTTCTATGAATACAACCTATACCAACTCGATGGATCAACAGAAAAGCCTCAAGGTGAAAGTATATTTTCAGATAATTTATCACTAATATTGCTTTGTGCTACACTACACAACTTTTGATGACATCACACTAAATGTGGAATTCCCTCTCAGTTCAATTTTTGTCGCCAAATTAATAGTCATATTATGAACTGGGTTGAGGGACGTCGCTTTTTCAAAGCCAAGCGTAATGGTAGGAAAGAGGAGGATCTATCTTGTCTACGAGAATATACCACATACAATGCTCCAAGCTATTTATTGTGACAACATGACTTGAATAAGAAGTCGAGAAATCACATTCTGGAATTGCCCTTTCTCATTTACACAGACCCACCTGAAATAAACTAATAATATCAGATCAATCCATCAAATGGTTTGGCTTGAGACCTCTAGACTAGTTTCATAGAAAAGTGTTTAGTATACAAAATCCAAAAGCTTGTCGACAAACAAATATTGTGACAGTGACACGGGTTTTTACAAAGCTACAAAATGCTAAAAAGTGAATTCCCTCAACACAAATGACTGCAATTTTGAAAATAGGCAAACTTTCGAAGCAAGAGGCCTTTTTGTATTGATAATTAACAAAAGATCCTTAAATCAGATCAACAGACAATTGGCTTGAAACCAGAAGACAAGGCTTAAAGACAATATTTAAGGTTGGACAAATCCAAAAATGACACACAATAAAAAATAAGATACATTTTGTGCAATTGTTTTTTGTGCCTTTCTACCAATTCTTGAGAATGAAATAAAATGTCTTTCCGAACCTTGTTGGAACAAAATAACATATACATTTCCTTAGACCTAAATATTATGGTTATACAAAGGAAAGTTTGGTTGATTTAACAAAAGGTATGCACAAAAATAGATAAAAATTAAGATAAACCTTTTATTTCGTTAACAAGATACTTTTTTGAAATCAACCAAACTATCCTTTGTACAATAACAATATTGAGAGACCTGAACACGTTGTGTTTATGTCGTTTTGTTCCAATGAGGTTGGGATAGATTTTTCATTTCATTCCGAACATATGATACCAAGAACAAAAGAAAGTTTCCGATGTGTTTTCTAAAACAGTATAGAGAAAAGTATACAGGGTGGTCCAAAACAGTGAACCCCTGCAACAGGCTACGTTTTTCTTAATACATGCATGAATTGGCTCATATTATCACATGTTGTAGAGAAAGGTCTAACATTTTGGTTGATGCCATAGTTTATTCTCAGTCTTAAATTTTGAAGAAATTACAAGTGTTTAACAAACATACCTGGAAATTAGATATTGTACAAAATTTTACAAATGTGATCCACGGAAATTGTTGAAACACATTGGATGATCTTAAACAGCTTTCAGTTAGAGATACACGTTTAAAACTCTACCATATGACAAAAGGGACACTATTCAAGCAGAAAAAATATTTCACACTTTCATTGATCATTTTGAAGCATTTTTAACTGTTCAACAGTTCAGGGGTATGTTACCTACACCAACAGTTAGAGGCGGGCCTCTTATTGAAGAAAGTTAGTCCCCCTGTGACCATATTCAATGTTTTGAGCCATATATCATTAGGATTGCTCCATGATTTATGAAGATATTGACATTTCAAGATCATATATAGGGGTATGTTCATGATTTCACTGGAAAATGTTTTCATCTGTGGAAGCTTAGCACATTTCTTTGGATCACAATAACCTTAAAACTAACAAATGTAGGATGCTAGTTTTTCTCCATAATGTGCAGGATTTAAAAGTGAACAAAGTCAGAAAATAGTAGTTCTTTAAAACTACAGCTTAAAAGATTCTCAGGGGAAAGGTGTTGAAGGGTTGAAGAATCGCGGATATTGAAAATCACATTTTGTCCATTTTCAGTAATGTTTGGTTAGGGCTTATAATTTCTTCAAATTTCAAGACTAAGAAAAAGGTATGGTACCAACATAAATTATAGACCTTCCTCTACAACATGTGAAAATAAAAAAGAATTCCTGCAAGTAATAAGTGAAATATGGCCAGTTGTAGGGGTTCCCTTTTTTGGACCACCCTATATATATATATTTCAATTTATAATGTTACCATCCAAAAGATAACCATTAAATTGTAGATGTGTAAAATCTTCAGAATGTTTTTAAAAAGTTCACCATATCGATACCACTCCTTCTTACAAAATTATTCCATAAAGCTACTGTTTACACTTACGGGGATTTTGCAATGCATGAAATCATTTATAAAACTACCCAATTGTCTAAAAGTAAATTTTACGCGACTAAAATGGCGGCCATTTTGAATGTAGGCAAGCTTTCAAACAAGGACTCTTTTGTATTGATGATGAACCCAACAATCGTAAATCAGTAATCCTATCGACAGAGGTTTTAAACCCAATAGTGTTCATATATAGACAGACGGACACGTGGGCAACCATAAAAGCTTAAATAGAAGACGTACAAACATTGTGGAGACCCGACTGGGAAATGTATATGCCATGATAGCAAACCCTGCAGTTTCAAATGCGCTGCATCCTAGACCCTCCAGAGTTCGCACGATCAAACACAGCACAACATACACAAAGCCATCGGGGGAATCGTCCAGAAACCTATAACAGATGAGTAGATTTATCTCAAATGACATTTGTCTGTTGTTTTGTTGAAATCATGGTAATTCATATATATTTAGAAGAATTGTTTTACATTAGATATTCATCAAATCAAGAAAAGGCAACAACTGTTAAGGGTTCTGAGAAATTAATTCTAGATTTTTGAGATGCACCTACCCAAATATCACATTGGATATTCCAGCTACGAGCAATCCTACGATTAACACGAACTTAGCACCTATCCTATACAGCTGCAAAGATTCAATACTGATTTATAAAAATACATGTACAAATTAATAAAGAAAACAATGGGTGAGTGAAATCCCCGACACCTTTACCATCATTCAACGTTTACAGTACCACTACAAAACGATACCTAATAAACAAAATGGAGTCAAGGGTATACTTTGAAATATCAAATTCGTAGTTGACATATAGGTATATACCTTGCCAGACTAGACAATCTTACTCCAAAGTATAGTATGTAGCTATAACCATACATATTTTCCATGTTTAGCAAAACACAGAATGTTTTGTTATGGTCAATATTGATCATTTAAAAATGCAGTGCTAAACTCCAGTAGGCTGCCTTCTTTTAAGATTTCACCCAGGATATGATGCCAGCAACTCCCAATTTTGCATATAGCATTAGGTAAGGAGCTATCAAAATTAGAAAACCTTTCTTTTTCAATTTTGTCTATGATTTAGTCCTTTTAAAACTCTCTTCTTTTGTTCTAAGCTGACAAGCTCTAAAAATATTTTTGCACATAAAGAAGGACCACTTATCTAGAAATGATTTGAGCTACTCTCCTATACTGTCACAGGCAAGGTTATAAAATTTGATGACATCACTTCCTGAGTGAAATCTTAAAAGATGGCAGCTTACTGGAAATGAGCTCCACATTTTTAAATCTCAATCTCGACTATTTCAAAACATTTTCCTATGTTTTGCTGAATATGGAAAGAATATGTATATGATTATAGCTATCATATCAGGATAGAAGTAGTCTAGCCACGGATGTCCCTTTAAGACTAATGAACTTAGGAATGCAGAACACAGCAATTTAAAATTAAGTATGTTCAAAATTAACTGAAAATAGGACCTTAATTACTTACATATTTCCCAAAGAAGGGTGATGTAGCAAAGACAACAAGTGCATGCACACCAAATATAAGACCAGTCATCAACTGCGAGACACCTTTCCTCTTTGCCTATAAAGACAAAGCATATAGTATTTCATAGTCTCAAGATTTCAATATAACAAAGTAACAAAAAGCAAGTCTTTGAATATAATTGCATATACATAAAGCATAACATGACACTTAATATATTTAAAGGTCAACACGAATCGTCGTGAGGGCAAGGAATAATTGGAAACTATAATTATCAAAAGTGACATCCCATAATAAGGTATGTTGTGAATAAATTTTGTGTTAACTGATAAATATCACGAGTGCCATGGTGAAAGGACCAAAAGTTGTAATGGAACTTAGCAAGAAAAAGCAAACTCCAAGTGCATTCCAGTCAAGAAAAACAAACCCCACATATATCCCAAAACCATGATCTAGCGTGAAAAGAAACAATGTCTAATACCCCCTTTCCCCCGCCATTCTCAAAATTCATTTCGTTCGTTGCGTACCTTCATGGCACTGGATGAAGGGCTCGGAGACTGTTCAACCGGCATTCAAGAACCGATATCACAATCCAAGACCAGAACACCAAGGGAGATTTCATTCATACTGAAGTCATCATGCATAGAGGTCAGTATAATTGTTGAACTACTATTCCACTAAAAGTGACTACCCGCATCCTTAGAGTATGTTGTGATGTGTGTGCCATATATAATTCAGCTCAAAGTGACGCACCAATTTATGTTGTAAGTACCATATATCAATGAAATCACAATCGGGGATGTTTATTGCCCAGTGAAATTACATTTCAAATCAGAATTAAAAGATTAATCTCTTTTCTAAAAATATGATTCTTTCCAGCTTCAAAACATCAAATATAAAAGATGAATACCAACATTGTTGATACTGAATCTACAGATGGAAACCTCACCTAACATGGAAAAATACAACATGGAAAGATACAGCATTATAATGCACGTGGTGTTAATATGGCAATCTAACATGAAAAGATACAACATTACAGATCACGTGGTGTTAATACGGCAATCTAACATGAAAAGATACAGCATTATAATGCACGTGGTGTTAATATGGCAATCTAACATGAAAAGATACAACATTACAGTGCACGTGATGTTAATACGGCAATCTAACATGAAAAGATACAACATTACAGTGCACGTGGTGTTAATACGGCAATCTAACATGAAAAGATACAACATTACAGTGCACGTGGTGTTAATACGGCAATCTAACATGAAAAGATACAGCATTATTATGCACGTGGTGTTAATATGGCAATCTTACATGAAAAGATATAACATTACAGTGCACGTGGTGTTAATACGGCAATCTCACATGAAAAGATACATCATTACAGTGCACGTGGTGTTACTATGGTAATCTAGCATGGAAAGATACAGCATTACAGATCACGTGGTGTTAATACGGCAATCTAACATAAAAAGATAAGCATTACAGTGCACGTGGTGTTAATATGGCAATCTAACTTGGAAAGATACAGCATTATAATGCACGTGGTGTTAATATGGCAATCTAACATGAAAAGATACAACATTACAGATCACGTGGTGTTAATACGGCAATCTAACATGAAAAGATACAGCATTATAATGCACGTGGTGTTAATATGGCAATCTAACATGAAAAGATACAACATTACAGTGCACGTGATGTTAATACGGCAATCTAACATGAAAAGATACAACATTACAGTGCACGTGGTGTTAATACGGCAATCTAACATGAAAAGATACAACATTACAGTGCACGTGGTGTTAATACGGCAATCTAACATGAAAAGATACAGCATTATTATGCACGTGGTGTTAATATGGCAATCTTACATGAAAAGATATAATATTACAGTGCACGTGGTGTTAATACGGCAATCTCACATGAAAAGATACATCATTACAGTGCACGTGGTGTTACTATGGTAATCTAGCATGGAAAGATACAGCATTACAGATCACGTGGTGTTAATACGGCAATCTAACATAAAAAGATAAGCATTACAGTGCACGTGGTGTTAATACGACAATCTAACATGAAAAGATACAGCATTACAGTCACGTGGTGTTAATACGGCAATCTAACATGAAAAGATACAACATTACAGTGCACGTGGTGTTAATACGGCAATCTAACATGAAAAGATACAGCATTATAATGCACGTGGTGTTAATATGGCAATCTTACATGAAAAGATATAACATTACAGTGCACGTGGTGTTAATACGGCAATCTCACATGAAAAGATACATCATTACAGTGCACGTGGTGTTACTATTGTAATCTAGCATGGAAAGATACAGCATTACAGATCACGTGGTGTTAATACGGCAATCTAACATAAAAAGATAAGCATTACAGTGCACGTGGTGTTAATACGACAATCTAACATGAAAAGATACAGCATTACAGTCACGTGGTGTTAATATGGCAACCTACCTCTTGTGGGTATATAGGTCCTAACATAGAATAAAAGGCAGAGGAAAACGCGTAACTTATAGATAGGGAAACTAAAGTGAATTTCTGTTCCGTCGTCATGGGGTTAGATTCAGAAGAACTGGTATCACTGTTTGAACTGTCTTCTGTGTCGGTAAGCAATGGCTCTATCTCAACTTTGGTGTCTTCTATGTCGGGGAATACTGGACTAAACTCCCTTTCGGAGTCTTCTGCGTAGGTAAATAACGGCTTTAGCTCCATATTGGTGGCTTAAGAGATAAATAGATTCCGTAGTCATATCCTCGAGTGGAACATCTATCCTAAAGGAATTCGATATCTACATTAACTGCAACATTTAAGTATACCTACACATGTCAGCTATTGTTTTTTTAAATTGCCGTTCGATATTTTCTGGGCTTTTGGATTATGCGTGTCATTAGCAGGGGTCAAAAATTTGTCATCTCATATTCCGCAACGAATATGGCACATCTGCTAATGACAAGCATAATCCAAAAGCCCAGAGAACTTCGAACGGCTATATTAAAAAACAATAGTGGACATGTGTAGGTATAATTAAACCCGATACAAAAATATGACAGATTCACCTGTGCTATATGGCACACTCATTGACCGAAAATACGCAATTGTCGATTGCATTGATTGAACGATCAGGGAAGAGTTCATAAATTATTATAATGATTACTGAATCAACAGGTCAGTAAATTAAATATATCAGCTTATACCATTGAATAACATGCACCGGTAGTACCTGTATTGTTTGATGTTGTTTTATGTATGTGTTACATGCAAATACAGACTACAAGGGAAACATTATTATGCATAATTAAATCCCACTTGTTTAGCAACACAATAGAAGTTGCTGTGGTTTATTTTTAAGAATGTATGGTTTTATCAAAAGGAAAGTGAATTATTTTTCTATTGTTTTTAAAGAATGTACACTTGGCAAGCTATCAAAAACAAGTGAGACATAAATGACCATTGACAGTTTTCATTCCCTAAAAACAATATACAAAAATACATGTACCCTTCTCTTGTTACTGTGCATTCTTTAGAATAAAACAATTTATCAATTTTTGTTGCTACCTGTATCTACATCATTGATCTTATCTTACTTACAAATATTCTGCTGTATTCAAATTCAATGTTCTGGACTGGACAGTCACCTGTAGTGCACAGAAGCTAGACTAATTATAGCCCACTCAGTCACTTACATCAACTCACACTCATGAGGTCAATGCAACCAACTCTTTTTGTTGTTACAATTAATTGGCTATATAACAACAAATTTTAACCAATAAGAGCCAGGGTCATTGTGAGCCTGGTTGAAGTTTGCAAAATTCACAGTTTGAATAGTCAATACAAAAGAAATCACATTTTTCCGGATTAAAGACCTTTTAACTGTAATATAATAGACCCTTTGCCTGTGATAAGAGTCTGTGTGATTTAAGTAAGATAAAGCATTCGAATTCGATTTGATAACAAATAATAACCTCAGGTCATCGGCCTTCGGTGTATCATTTCTTATAAAACCTCATTCTTATGCTTTATCTAGTACATAAACGAACCTACAGTCGTGGCTTCTCATTGGATGGTTTAAACAAATCGACAGCGATCGACAAAGACCAGATGAAAACCTACAAAATCACAAGTAATGTACTGTTGTATCGACAATCACGATTTACACATTTTGATACTTTCAGAAATACCATTCAGCAATTACATGGAATAAACTTAATCTATCAATCCAGGATTCATATATTAGTGCTTGAAGTGCTGACAATATTGATTATCCAGCATAGTTTTACACTTAGAGTCGATTCAGTCGACCAATCAAATCGAGGCTGTCTGTATCATGTTTTCCCCTGCTGTATATGGCATATTCCGCAGGTGAGTATGACATATTTATGACATATTCCGCATGTGAGTATGACATATTCCGCAGGTGAGTATGGAATATCTGCAGGTGAGTATCGGGTATTCACCGAAATCAATGTATCGCATATTCACTGCAGAATATGCTATACTTACCTGCAAAATATGTCATATACCGCACGCGCAGGTGAGTATGGCATATTTATTCACATCACAAATATCGCACAACCATGAATATATGCCATATTCTGCGTAACAGTACACACTGCTACAGAAAATTGTATGAAATAAATGTCGAGTGTTTGATTTAGGTTTCTCAAATATAAGTTGTGTTATTTTCCTTAAAAATACAAACAAATTACGTCATTGGCACATCAACACTCTGAATTGTTTCTTCCATTCAATAGTGGTGATCGATGTAGATGGTATCAATTAATCGTTTTTATATGAGATTGAGATATGCTACAATTATCGTTGTTTTTGAAAAATGAGTCTTTATACGTTTTGAGATATGGACTGTCAACTGTCAATAATGCCTGGGTCACGTATGCTCCGATTCATCGACCGGGGCCCGGCCGATTGAGTGTTCTGTTCAATATTGTATTCAATTTTGAACAAAATACTCAATCGACCGGGCGCCATAGTGAAAATCGGAGCAAATGTGACCAAGGCATAAAGGAGGACTTATTGATCTTCCTTGACTGGCCGTGGCTACGGGTAAAATTATTTTACCCCTGGTTAGATTTTGCTCAGTTGTTTATGAAACAAGCACAGAGACCTGGTCGAATATATGAAGCTTTGAGAAAAAATGTTTTGATTGAATCAACTTGACCAATATTTGAAAAATTAAGCAAAAAATAATAAGCACATTTAAGTAATAACACTAGTTAACCACTCGAAGTTACATTGAAAAGTTAATTAATATTTACATAATAGTAATCCGATGTATTGTAAATATGCTTACATGTATATTAACATCAGTCTTGAGTCATAAAATATGTAAAAATTCAAATAAAAATGTTAACGTTTTTTGACCCCTTGTAATGAGGAACATTTTTGGACCCAAAAGCCAGAAGTTATTTTTAGCAAACGGTATGTTAAAAGAATCAAGGACATATAACCTCCTTAGATATTCGTTCAAATGTTACTGCGCCATATTTTGCTACGGATTCTTCATATTCCGAAGTCAGACCATGGACCAAAGCCCAAGTAAATCATTCCATGCAGAAAAAACTTATAATATAATTTCAAAATCCTTCCAAATATATATAAGCTCTACTCACTTTGGAAAAGACAAGCGATCAACTGATTCTTACATCAAACTTCTTCTGATTATCCACTTCTTGTTATATAATGTATCAATTGATATTACTGCATGGTTAACGTTTCAGATTTTAAACCAATATAGCGAATTACTGAAAATGGTTAACCAATCACAATCAAGTGCTCATTAATTGATGGTTACATCAGCCACTCGTATAATATTTTCTTGCAATCTTTGATTTTTAGTATCGTTAAATCAATTTTAGTAATATAGCAATTTAATGTCTCATCTAGAGGCAATTTGTCATTACGTCTTTAACATTCAGACGAGCGAGGTGTATAACTCAATTGTCCTGGGAAGCTAGCTACGATCATTTACAGTAAGTACCGAAATTAACGATGAGAGACATAAAGCGGCCAAAATTAAAAGCTGTTCGTCGAAGGAATTTGTATCTTAAGCTTTGATATGCAATCGAACGTCTTACAATTCTTTTTCGACGTTACCGCTGGCTATCATCACATTTTCTCATGGTTATTTCTTCTTTGACCTTACTGCTGGATATCATCACATTTAAGGAAGATAGTGATAACGATTTTTCTAAATGATTCATGAATTCTTTATTGATAACGTTCACCGCCGCCGCGCCGTTTTCAATAGGGACTATGAAAAGTGAGTCCCGTGGACCCAGTGTTATAAAAATTGGGGTCCCAGTACAAAAAGTGGGTCCCAATAGAAAAAAGAGAAACACTTAGTAAACATGTATTCTTTATGTTGTAGTGCTTTATCATGTTTTATTGCATGTATTTAGACCCTGTAGTCAGATGGTACCTATGCTTACTTTTTGCGAAAGCTTTGAGTATTTTGATATAATAAGTTTCAAAATCTAACATGGCTCTCGAAGTGAGTAAACCTATTCAGCGGTCTGACTCAGTGTGCCTTGTAAGGCTTGAATTCTGAGTCTTTGCACCCATTTGGGCTGGAGAAAATGTTCCTCTTCCCATGGACCTCAAATAACTAAATCTAGATTAGAAGTGATTAGAAGTCCATGCTCTTCCCAGCCATGATCATAAACTGCACCGCATCGCTTGGCCTGCAACACAATGTGGTGTGTGTTCTCCTATTCTGGGAGGTACCTCCTAACTTTAGGAGGGTGTGGCATGATAATATCTTTAACTCGTGACTTTATGATTCAATTTAATAATCAGATCTATTCCTACTCCGATTTTTTTTAAATTGCACGCCAAGACCATTCGCGCATGCGCAAAGAATGATGCTTCATTCCCATCAATATATTTTTCTAAAATATTTCGAAGGCTTTGTATAAAAAACCTCCTACCCACGTACCCTCGTACCCACGTACGTGGGTCCTGACCCAGTCTTTAAAGAGTTAAATTTTTAAATGTTTAACATTATTCAATCTCAGTTTATCCTGAATTATAGATATGAATTTATGCATCCATATGCCTTTATTTATAGGTCTGACATCTCTCTAGTAAAATAAAATAAAGCCGGAATTGCATAAATGTTCATTATTTTTGAGCTATTTGATTTATGTTTTTGATATGTCGAAATGTTTTTTGTTGATCGGGCAGTTTTACCTGTATAACACATCAGTGCTGATTAGCAATCTCCTAGCCTTCGTCCAGTGCAATCCGTGCCTCCTGTTACCTCATGCAGATTGTAAATGTCCCGGGAAGTTTACCCTTGTCCAAAAGTTGACATCTTTTTAAAAATATATTTCTTAGAGTTTCCAACCAATTAAATTCACCACATTTTATTAGATGTTTATTTCAAATGTTATTAGAATTCATTCTTACGAATATTATACGTTATTAACGTATGTTAGTCAAAGATTTGGTGTCGTTGTTGTCCATTGTATTCACGTTTTACGCGCAAAAAGCTAGAAACTACAAAGCTGAACTTTTATCATTCAAACCAGTTTTACATCAAATCATTGTCAAAATAAAACTCTTCTCTTCATATTACCTAATTATGGATCAAACGGCCATGAATAATGTCGAAGTTTACAAAACCAAACTTACACTCCCCTGCATAAGTTTGGCAACTCTAACTTTTAATTCCATCTAAATGATTCACTGAACTAGTGCGCACAATTATCCTTAAATTGTGCCAAAAAGCGATTAAAAACGAATATAGCGAATCCTTCTACTTTTCAAATATTTCGTTATTCAATTGCGCCACGGTTAAACAGAAATGCAGCCTTTATTATTCCTTGAGATCGTGTGAAATGATCACTCTATCACTTTGTATCTCCAATTCTGATGTTAAATTTTAAAAAAAGACATAAGACAAATTACACGTATAGTTCAAATCTGTCGTGCAAACAATGAATACTTGTAATATCGTTTGAAAGAATAAAAAGTATATGTGATAAAAATCGAAACTACATGGTGTTAAAAAACAGGACCGATGAAAAGTTGAATAACTTCGTCAATCCAAAATCATTCAGGTCATTCAATGTGAATTTTGTTGTGAAAGTTTGACCATATTCTGCTCATGGAGTCAAAAACTACAGCACTTTACAACACATGCCCCATGTGGCCAATTTGCGCCAAGCAATAGATTGGTTGTACACTGTAAGACTGCCCGATCAACAAAAAATCGCTTCGATATATCAAAAACAACACTCAAATAGCTCAAATGAACATTATGCAATGCCGGCTTTATTTTATGAGGAGACAGATGTCCGATCTAGAAATAAAGGCATATGGGTACATAAATTCATCCATAATTAAGCATGCATTGAGAAAGAATAATGTTTAAAAAATGTTAAAGATTTAACTCTTTAAAGACTGGGTCAGGACCCACGTACGTGGGTACGAGGGTACGTGGATAGGAGGTTTTTTATACAAAGCCTATTTCGAAGGCTGCCTAGCCTTAGAAACAATGCTTTTTACGCCTCTGGATGTTAATTCTATTGAAAATGACGGTGCTCAAGCATTTTCTGGATCACGAATGGCTCGAAAATGTTGTTTGATATCCGAATTGCTAAGTGAATGACGGGAAGGGTAATGCTCTTGGAGAACAAACAAGAGATGGTAGCGACGGCTAAATATGAAAAATAGTTTAAAATGTTTAACATGTGCGCATGCTCGGTATTTATTGCCCAATCAAATTGATGAATATTTGACACATGCGCAATTAGTCGGAGAAATAAGAGCGAACCCAGGGGAGCGAACAAGAATCAACCATACCAGAAGTAAAATATAAAATTTTATTTCTGATATGTTTTCGTCAAATTAGGGAAGCTCTATCAAGATAAATAAGATGTGTTTGCAACCTATGGTGTTGGGACGCAATTTTGCGTCCCAAGAACGCACCAGCAATTTTCTTCTGCGTCCATGACTATTTATTTACGTCCTCATAATGGGAGGACGGCGTTGTTACATGTAAAAACCCAGCCGCGGAATATAACAGCTCCATATCTTAAAACATGTTTTAGACCCATTTTGTGAAAAACTAGCATACTCCAAGCATTTCTCATTCTAATATAAAGCGATTCATTTGTACCATTTATCTCATCAATACCTGAGAAACAATACAAAACGACAATGCACTTATTACACATTTTTTTGTTTTGATGAGAAAACTTAAAGGCAGAATCTGTTCTATAGGGGGTGACAAAATTTCAAGCAACATGTATAATTGACCTACCAATCTATTCCTTACAATATCAAATACAATATCTCCCAAAAGATTCACAATATGTTATAAATTGGTGAAGTTATTA